CGTAAGATTCATTCTAAGTCGCCTCCTCCATAGGGGAGCCAGCCCCGGCATGCTGCATCTGGAGATGTAGTCAAGGCCGAAGTCGGCTCCTGGCGTCCTTAATGTGAAGTGGCGTCGCATCCCTCCGAGTTTTGGTTTGTCGTCTACTCGAAATCCGCTTATGACAAATGAGCAGTATTCTAGAATTGAACGGGTGCATGCTTTGTAGAGTAGGACCCTCGATTCAGTACTACAAAAGAGGCGAATGATGCATCCCAGGAGTCCGCGTGACTTAGTTTTGCTGCACACTGCCTGCTCAGAGAAATCGAAGTCACTGGAATATCTGAGTACTAGGTCTGAGACAGAACTAAGTTTTAGTAACTGCTATCGAGATGCTTTCGGGGCTACGTAATATTTACTCTTTGAAGCATTGGCAGACTCCCACCCATTCAACATAATTTCTTTGCGTTCTGTTGTTTGGAAACAGCTTAGTTAGGTCGCCCTTTGCCACTTGTTCAGGTTGACTTGTGAGATTCACACTAGTCGATTGTCATCATGTCTACTCTGCGCCTCTCGGGGTAACACCCGTGTGATAAGTTATTGCCAACCTCGCGGGCACCCCGGACTACAATCGTCGTGAATTTGCATTCATGAGGTTCCGAATAATCACAAACTATCGGAACCGCTTGTTTTACTTCTTTGTTCCACTGACCACTTGAGCCCTTCAGGGATTGCATCAGTGTACCTACCCCAGAATCTCTATGTACTGACCTCCAGAGGCTTTCTGTTCTTGTTAACGCAAAATTTACTTGTGTACCGTGTGAATCCCCTGATGACAGCGCTGTTTGTTCGCTACTGATATTCACGGACTATTTTCGTATATGTCCAATATCACTCAAGTGGCCTACTCTCTGTTTGATTGACGCTCGCTCAACCTGCAATATTATATGCAGTCTGAAAGTTGAGCGTGGGCTCAGCTGTTGTTGTTTTGGTAGTATGTCATTATTGGAGGTACATTGTAAGGTGCTGTTCACAGAATTCCATCCAAAGGACGAACTGAGCCCGTCTGAAGTTGAGGTGTTGTGCAGGCCGACCGCGTCAACCGTCGAGACCATTGAAGATGCTCCTCAGTCGCGACAGGATTGGGCTAAGGATTGAGGGGGGACGTCAAGTTTTAGCAAGTTGTGTGGCTTCATATGCAACCGATATATGGTAAGCAAGTGCTCTAGGTGGCCAGGTGTGAAGTGAAATCACTGAACATGTTAGTATCCGCTAACCATGGCAGCGGTTTGAAGACAAAGGTATTCATGAACACGAATATAGACTATAAAACGTCTACAGTTCTTGTGAATACCGCTGTGAGAAGCTACAACTTACCTACAGATTGCTTCTAAATTGTTTACAGTTACGGATAAGATCATTGGTCAGTCACAAGTGACCAACAGTATGGAAACGCAGTCACACTCACCAGTAACCGCTAATCTTTAACAAGAGTGAATAATAAGAATGATTTGTTCTTGAATTCATGAAAGCACATCAATTTCAAATATATGTGAGATAGCTAATCGGTGGTGGGGGCTTCTATCCATTAGGGTATTATTGTGACTTTTGTGTTTTACCCCCGCCACGTGGTGTAGCCTCATCCAAAGTAGCCTGGGCTATCTGCTTTCAAGGCTTTGTTGATTTGAAAATGGGGTGCATTTGATTTCTTGTCCCAACGTCACTTGAACCTTGGAGAAGCCTTGCAGTGTGTGGCAGTGTAGATGACCGGCGGCAAAAATTGGACTGGAACATTCGCTTGTCGGTAGGGTAAGAAGACTACAAAAAACCTACCCACTAGCAAAGAGTCTTCTCACTGGGGTCGCTGGCTGTAGGCCTAAACTCCAAGACATCACTCACAGAAGCCCTTCCGGCATGGCGCCACATAAAGATCGAATACGAGGCGCTGTGCGATGCAGCAGAGGTAAACCAAGGTCTTTTAGACTGGGAGACGGAAACCAATCTCCAAGAATGCTACAGACAGCACCAGTCACAAATGAATCTCGGCGAACTAATGCCTATAGACTTTGTACCGAACAATACCGTCGCACCAAAATCAAGGTACCGGGTGAGATTAAATGACGGGGGCTTGCCAGTCCGATATGGACTGGTGGTCAGAACCAGACGCCACGTCGCGCCAGCCTCTACATCCTCGACATCCACCTCGGTTGTCTATGATTATGTAGTCTTCGCTGGAGGCATCAACACACGGGCACTTAACGCGGGGTGTGAAGTAAGTTGTAGACATAGACCTTTGAGCACAGGCTTCGAAACGCGTCTGTGACGGCAGGATTATTAGAGAAATCTGGAGGAAATACCCAGTGGGGACCAAATAGAAAAGGATCCTCTCTTGACTATATTCTAACAGACGATGACCTTTTGGCAAACGACGTCTTTGTCCAGCCACCCTAGGCAAAGCGATCACGCTCGGGTGAGGCTTGCCTGGATAACCAAGGGGAAATTGCCAATCACTGGGCCAGGAGAGTTCCGCTGTTACTGAAAAGCAGATTACTATCTTGTGAACAATGAACTCGTAGCGGCAACATGGCCACAGAAATAGCACTCACTATCGATAGATGAACACGGATGCACATTTTATATATTATTTGTTGTGCTACCGAGAAGAATGTTCCGAAATTAGCCAGATGACCATTTTTCAAACGGTCTCGGGTGACTGGAAAATCCGGAGAGTATACAGAAGAAACAGAAGGCATGGTGTGGGTGACACACATCGCCCAAGGAGTCGAACTTTCTCAGCCACAAGAAACTACGCAGCCGTGCGATGTGTGTTCGCAATGACTACTGCAAATGCCAGGGCAACCTGGCCAATATCTGTCATGACGAAAACCAACGAATGAAGGCCTAAACCTGATCACAGAGAAGACCATAGAACCTTTGAGTCGCAGTAGGATGGTGGACTGTTGAGCAGCCGATTTTACGAGCACCTCGACACTGTGAGGCATCCAATACCGACATCCAGTGATGTAATAAAGCTCCGAGGCCGCGATACAAAGCTTGCGAACGTAAAGATTTCGTTAAACCAAGTGTTTGCGAAGCTTTCAACACCCAGAAAAAAGAAATCTCTGGGCTGTGGCGAAATAAAACCAGAGTCCTACGGAAATGTGCAAAAGTGCTGGGCACATCTAAATGATAGCGTTCACGCGCTTGTTGGAGGTAGGTCAGCTCCCGAAAGAATGGAAATGTGCTGTTCTTTTCACAAATAATCGAGAGATGAGGCCAAAAACCCGTGCAATTACAGGCCACTAGCGTTACTTTTCCTAGTATTCAGGGCACTGAAAGGCCTGATAGCAGATGTTAGGTGGGGCTAGCTTAAAGGAAACAACACCATTCATCACACCTTAAAATGGCTACAGAAACGGATTTCCATGTGTCATAGACTTTACAACCGTTTGGGATGACTGGACCACCAAGAAGGACAACAACCAACCATCCCGCTTTATCTTTCGGTAACGTCACGCACCACGTCATGCCTGGTAACCTTCCGAAAGTGGGTTTCACCGGGCCACTCAGTATGGTTTACAGCGTATATACAGGACAGAGAATTCCGTGCCACAGTAAACGGAATTCAGTCAGCCTTGGAGGGGGGTGCAAGGACCGGGCTTTCTCATGGAGTGATCTTTAGGCCGCTCCTACTTTTATTATCTATTAATGACCTTTCCACCAAAGTCCCATCGTCTACCCTCCTATTTGCGGAGGGGGTAAAAATGTGGGGGACATCAAGCAGGAAGGAGGAACCTAGGAGACTTCAAGGCTATCTGCTGCAGCTGGAGTCCTGATCAGCTGCAAATGGTTTAGGCTTCAACCAGGAGAAATGCAAGCTGATATATCCCCGCACACTAGTGGCGACGAAAACCAACTAAGCCCCCAACAGCTGTGCAACGACTAGGGTATTCGTAGAGACGGTCCTACGACCAAACCTCACGAACACGCTGGATACTAGTACCGGCTATAAGGGGGTGACAGTAAAGACTAGCACTATCAAGAACTTTCAAAGAAGGCAGTCTGAGGTGCTGACTCCTGAACAATTCCACACGATGTTTAAAACCTATGTCAAGTCACACCTACGGGTATTCAGAACGATTGCCACCCCGCATACTAAACATTGAGGTCAGTTGCTAGACTAACAGGCAAAACGTGTTGCGCAACGCCTTACACAACTCAGCTTGTCCACATTAGGCTGTTCAGGCAAGAGCAGTGGTCTAGTAACAGTCTTCAAGACCACCACCAAGTAGACCACTTAAAGACGCTAACATCTTAGAACCAGAGCCAACAATCTTGCCGGGACCTAATTCACATACCGCAGGGTAAGGGAAACATAGGAGTTTGACCGAATTTCTCATTTGTATGTGCCTTATGAACGCTCTGTCGAAGACAGTAGCCACAGCCATATCGTCTGACCCCTCCGAAAGACTGATGGATAAGCACGTGAGTGTGAACGGCTTGCCATGAACGTTTTTCGGCAGCAACTGAAGGTATACTCATCCAACATTGCATTCCTCAACCCTAGTTTGCTCAATAAAGGCACCCCTCCCCATATCATTTTTCCATAAGTACTTTTCACTGCCACTTTTTTCTTTCCTACTCGCCCTATTTCTAACACTTTTAAGTAACGCCCAGTACTTACTTGCAGGTACCTACAAAAAGAGGAATTGCAGAAGGTTAATTAGTCTTATCAGCAACTCCGTTGCTCCCGCAAAACAAACCAAGCCACAGTTCGCAGGAAAAATAACTTCAAATAGACGATCGACATGTTCAAAGCTACAAGCAGGAAAAACTAAGGACTTCCGCCACCACCGAAGAAGAATAAGCGAGCAAAAAGAACCAAGCCTCCAGACCCAGAAGCGACAGCTCAAAAACTACAAGTTCACTCTATTCACATCATTGATCTTGGATTCTGTAAAACAAAAAACAAGTCAGGTCCCGGGAATTAGACACGAGAGATCTACGCAAGCACTTTCAATGCTAGATGATGTTGTTGAACATTGATTACCGAAACGTCATGGCGTGTATGTACGTCATTTGAATTTTTGCCGCATAAGATGAAGAGACACCACAGAGAGGAGTCGTCTTCTCGAACTAAGAAATCCCGTGCTCCCAGTGTATCGGACGAGGATGATAATAATGGATATGTCAGCTCCTCTAAAAAGCATAAGAGCCCACCTCGAAAGGCACTACTGAGGCGCCCTTCGCGCGAAGAAAGGTCATCAGACAAACGTGATCATGGCTCGAGGCAGACATTCTTACTTCGTTCTAACCCGCCAACAAACTTTGTCAGCGGCAGTAGCAGCAGCCGTCCTTTTAACTCTATCAGGTAATTTGTATGTGATGTATTGAGTTTACGTGGGTTATTACGAATGATCACTCGTGTTGGTAAACTGATCCTACTCTATCCTGGATTTCAGGCGTCATTGTTCATGCTTCTTGCTAACTAATAATTGTGTGGTCCACCCACTTGTCCATCGTTATCTAACTTACTTATGGTACCACAATTCCAATATCACCGTCCCATCATCATGCATAGTACATTAGTTATCTCACTTATTATTCGTTATAATTTTATTTTCCTTGAACATATGATAAGCTGATATGTTCATGTTGAATGGTCTTGGGACATTTTCATCTGGTGGCAGTTGCAGTCGTTTCAAACCACTGAATAATGATAGTTCATGTGTGAAGTGCCAAAAATATCATTGCTCAAATGGTTTCTGATTCCTTCACTGTGAAGAAAAGCAACAAATTGTACTGCACACATTTGATTCGTCAAGTTAAACATTTTCTAATTTCATGCAGGTTTTCTGGTTCTAAACACTCACAAGATATTCGTTTTCGATATTGTATCTAATTTATCGTTAACGCGATTGTTGATAAAATGCGTCCGACAAACCATAGGTCACATTCTGTTCCTAAGAATAATGAAGTTTTGGTCGTGTAAACGCATCTGTAATCCTCATGAATCTATCCAATTTTCTTAATGAGATTCCACATGCAGAAAATCATATTAATCATGCAAACCTTTGTTCCTATGATGTCACACCTGATATGCATGTTCTACTTTTATCCGAAGTATTCTGCATCTTTGTGGGAATCGGTTTTAGGCAAGTTTATTCTTTCATTTGAAATTATCACCGTCTAATGTCCACCCGATTGTTCATCCGGTCTAGTTTACAAATAATTTTATAAATAGTCGCAGCTTAAGTGATGAATAAATAAAATGTATTTCAGCAAAGTAATATTGTTAACATGGTGTTGAAAAGATAAGATAAAAATATGTGCTGTGAAACGATCCGAGGAAGTCCTGTAAGAAGGATTCAGATTTCAAGTTAATACATTTGGAGAATGATTTGGTTGACCATTTCCAGTAAGTTGTTCATTTAAAGTAATATTTGTAATTTGTTCAGAAAGTAGTTAATTCGTTCTTTGTTCGAAAAAATATACTGATATAGGCACTGATAATTATACCACCTGTTATGCCAGCGTAAAGAATGCTAATAGATGTTTTAAACTTAATTGACTTGTGAGTTGGAAATGATAATCTTCCTATTGACTGCATAGTCGTCGTTTTCTGTAAATGGCTGTCCGTTATGAGAAGTGTCAATGGGGAATTTGAGCTGTTCCTCGTTCGTCTTTCAGTCAGTCATCTGTCCAAACTTCAGTTCCTGGCATCTGGGGAGGGGGTTAACCTCATTTGCTGTCATAGCAAATGTGGTTCATCAACAAGTGCATGAAACTGCACATAGTTGTTGAGTTACGCCAAGTACAATTTAGCAACCGGGTTTGTTTAATGGGTTACTGTCAAAGCAGACGGTCTGAGATGGGACCATCTCATATTTTTCTTCTTTCAGCTTGTCTGGAGCTGTGAACTGAATGTGTCGCACAACATACTCCTACATTGTAGTACTGACCCAGTGAGCTAGCTGTTAACAGTAGGATGAAGCTCCAGCGCTGGTCTGTACTGCCTCCTAGTTTGAAGATGAAGTATCAAGTAGAATGCATTCATCACCTCACTTGGGGGAGATACTCTAGTTCAAATGGATTGGTTAGGGGTGAAATCTCAACTAAGATAAATTTTCATCTGCGACTCAAGATGAAACCGTTTGATATTAGCAAAATATTGGACTGCAGTTCTATCGGCAAGTATTTTTCGTCGCACTCCCATCTACTGCTTGACGTCTGTGACATCACAGTCAAAGTATTACGTATGAGGTAACAGACATTTGACCACTGGTGTTTTCGCAAGTGTTAGGCCTTCGTCGACCTATAAGTCAAAATCAATTACACTGGGAGCCACTGTCATCAATGTTGTGGATTTCCACTGACCTTCACATATCGTCTCACCTCGAACTCGTCACTTTATTCACTTTCTTGTATACCTCTGTAGAAAGTGGCAACTTCAACTAGCGCACTTTTGTGTCACGCTTAATATTTGATTTTCTGCCTGTTTGAAATCGAGGAAGATCAGCGAACTGAATCTCGTGGATAAACATTTTGTAGATTCTTGCCAACATAACGAGAGGCAAAAGGTAGCTAAATATAAGCTGATGAATTCAACCCAGTACATGTATGTTTAGTGCTTTATGAGCCACCTGCTGTGATGGCTTGCAGTACTACGTGGTCTCCAGGGCCGAATAAGTGGAGCTACGCTGGAACCCGGGACCTGTTACCTAAACTTTGAGTTTTTAAATCTATGATCTGACTGGTGAAGATCATTCATGGGTGACAGTAAAATGTATTATCTAACATTGATGCCTCCTCCATCTCCGCTTTCGCCACCTATCACTACTTGCGATCGTTCTAAAGACTGGTAGTCAGTTTTTTTATGCTTGAGCTGCCCTTACTCATTGTGGTGGTAGTCAAGTGGTATGAGTCTGGTCGCACTGACAGTTAGGATAAGATTGCGAAGATTTGTTGGCTTTCGCTGACCTTCGGATGTAGGTTACCAACGGTCTCTAATGCTGTTTCTACAGCAGATTGAATATCACACCAGGCTTCATCATTAGGAGGATTGCTGACGTGGTGACTTGCTAATGTTTGGCGTACGTTTCTCACTATCCAAATGTAAATTGTTGCTCCGGCGCCTCTGACTGATTTGCCTCGGTGCATTGTCTGACAGTAGGGAGCGAATTGGTTGAACGCGTTGACAACTTCACTTACTTAAGAAGTCAGATCAGCCCTAGTAGGTCAGTGACCAACGGAGTCTTTGCACTCACACAATAGGCTCGTTTGGTCTTTGACAGCTTACTCGGTTTATGATGCCATAGTGATCTCTGATTCCGTCTTGAGGGCTGTGTGCTGTGCTGCAGTTCTCTCCGTTCTACTATATAACTGTAAAACAAAGTCATCAAAGGTAGAGTATTTGAGGAGGCTTCAAGTGTTCAATCACTGCTATCTTCATAGGATAAACCGTCTGTCGCGGTGTCACCATGTTAGTGGCGTGGAGTTTTAGTTTGTTTTCATCTTAACCGCCGTACTGAACTTCAGTGTTTGCTCATCCCTTTCTTTTGATGACTTTCCACCACTTTGACTACTTTGTTCTTCATTTCTCTATCTTTATCTCAGTACTTCTCCTGATATGGTGATGTGAAGTGTGGTGACTTTAAACATTGCACAGTGATGCTAAGTGCTACGTTGGTGCTGGTTGACTGGCAGTTTCCAGAATGCACGTTTATGGTAATCTGAATTGGGACCCTGAAACTTGAAGTTTAGTTTTGGATGATATTCTTGACGTTTTTTGATTGGCAACCACAGTTTTCACCATCTTAGAAAGCTCACCCGGGCACTCTTCAGTTCTGGTTACATGCTCAAATTTTCAGATGCTGTATTTTAGGGTACTATGGCTTTTTCTCATTCTATCTCGCAAACAAGTAGTCTTGCCGCTGCAAGGCAGCTCTGAAGTATTAGCAAGTTTGAATCATTCAGCTGCGGATGAACCCCGATGATCTAATGTTTTTTCGATGTGATTAATGCACAGTAGGTTAATAAGGAATCATAACGTTCGCCATTAAATTTTGACCGCTTGGAAGAATGCTGTATTTGCCCGGATTTATTCGCCCTACGGCTAAGTGACTGCTAGTCCCCCTATAAGGTTATATAACTGTGAGGAACAACATCCGTAAATTTAAAGCACAACAGTTTGGGCATTGATATGTGAATGGCATTCAGGGTAGAATAGTTTATCCACTACTACTGACGCTTCCCTAGGTTATGTGTAGTTGGGTTTTCACATTTGTCCTTACGGGCACACATTCTCACGAACTTGCTTAGTTCTCAAAGAGAACAGATGAAGCTTTAAGTGAAAGTACTGGATCCATTCGTTTGCACGCATAGAAGTGCCAGTCTTTAAGTGGGAGGTTGATAATGATCTGAGGGAACTTGATTGGTGACAGGGATATGACGGCGACTGACACTTCCTGACTGCCCACATCATGGAAAGCTGTTTCTTCTTGAGGTACTTCTAAAAGAAGGGTTGGTGTGAGAACACAGAGCTCAAGGGACATTTGCTTGAGGCTGGTCACGCATAACCTGTTAGGAAGTTTGAGGTCAAAGTTTTTTGTTTTCGACTCCGACAATAAACCCACTTCCCTGGCACCGGTATGCCACGGAGTAGAAGAGGATTTGCTACTTTCAGGGCCGGCGTTTTCTAGTCAGCCCTTCCCACCAGAGAAGCAGCAACAGCGTAACACTTGGCCATCCAAAGGAAACACTTTACTACTGTCACATGCCCATCCAACCAGCAGTATGACTTCGCCTTCCTACCCCCATCATAACGTAGCAATTTTCACAACAACGGTAATTTTTTTGTCTTACCACTACTGAACTGACCTTTCTGGTCTGCTGGGACCTCGAGAGAAAAAGCGCTTTTGATGTTTAATGCTGACCACCACATCAATGCAGGAGCTATTTGGTTGAGCTATAGATAGTGTTACAGTTTTCCATTAGCCTTGTTAATGGTCCAAGCAGAACGGCTCTGTTATTTACAATAGCTAAAGTATGTGAAATATACAAGTAGAGTTTCCTCGCTTCACTGATGAAAAGTCTTGCTGTATTTTTGAGATGAATGGGGATTTTTAATTTACAAGTAGTATTCATCATGGACTGACATCAGTTGGGGAACCATTGAAAATCTGGGAGCACTGAACAGCTGTTTCGTCCCAGTATGGGATTCCTCAGCAGTACGGTGACAGTCGGGCTATATCGTGAATTGACAGAAAATGGAAATTGTGAACCACTGGAAAACGACCCAGTGGCTGAATGGTTAACGCGTTCGCCGTGAAACGTGAAGGGAAGATCCTCTTCCTTATTCACTAGGTTTTGCATTTTGCAACACCTAGCGCTTCTGAACTGTTGGAATACGTTTTAGGTTTTTTCTGTATGGTTTAATGGTAACCTGGGTAAATAATGTGACGTACATTGCCCCATAGTGTTAACAGTATGTCTTTCAGCAGTTTAGAAACTATCAACTATTAGAACTACAGTTGTTCTGAACCGATGAGTGTTTTGTTTTGTTGTGTTAGATAATGCTTGACTATAGAGCTGTGCATCATTGGTCTTTGTACGTGACTTCCAACCAGGTAGTCATCGGTTCAAATACCTCCCCCTGCTAAGGTATGGGCAATCAGATAATATTACTGAATCTCACTATAGGCATGGGTTATTGCTTATTGCACGCAAGCACGTGATATGCTTTTTGATCCATATATTTTGCATTTTTTTCTTTAACATCTGGGCAGTTTCGCAGTTCACACCACGAGAGGTTGAGAAAAATCTTGTTTCGTACGCAAAACATACTGGGGTTGTTAGATACATTTTTAATATACCCTTCTGGCTATTACTTTTCTTTTGTGAGAAAACAGTAAGTAAGAGGGTACATCTCATTTTCCAGCAGGATCAACCTCGATGAAATACTCTGAAATAGTTAGATGTAGTTATTAATCTGATGTAAGTCTTCTCATGCCCAGCGGTAGCACTGCGTATATTGATATGAAGTACATTATGAAAACTGGCTTCCACTTTAGCCTATTGCTTTCACAATTTCGTGGCCCTATCCGTCGTACTTGATGTGAAACATGTGAAGTGGTTTGTCGTTATGTCACTCCTTAATCAGTTCATTGCAAAATAATAGTGGTTCTGGTTGTTCGGAAAGTTCTCTTTCGTAATTCAGCATATGGGGTTCTCACTATCACATAACTTTTGACAAAGTCCCAATATTGCAATGTAGTCAGTAATGATGAAAGTTAATGTAATGCAACTCAAGCTGACGTACCATTACTTAAAAGTCACGGCTTTGAGGGGCTAGATGAAACTAAGAAGTGGGATATTTATCAAAAGAAATGTATCTTATTTTACATTGAACAGAATAAAGGTAGTGTTCAAATGTTAAAAACCTTGTTTCGGACGAGAAATTCACTATTCTAGCCATAGAAGGCGGGATTTCGGGAGATTCCTTTTGATATATATATATATATATATATATATATATATATATATATATATATATATATATATATATATATATCAATATCGAGCATAGGTGGCAGCTGTTGATGAATGTCTGTATTTTGTTGGAAATGCTTTTCGTGATGCGCCAGATTTCTAAACCGTGTAGAAGCACTGACTTGACTGACACTGGTGTCAAAAATCCGGATATTGTTCAAGCTTCATGCTGAGTGTGGTAGATCTCCACACTGATTTCAGGTTCTTTGAAATGGCCAGATCATTGTTTCATTCGTTTCTCCTTTTTGCTAACTAGGTTTTCTTCACTATCTTTCATTGGTTTCATCTGCGTTGATCTCTTCCCAGATAGTTTTTTGGTTATCCGATATAGTGTCGTCAGGTCTCTGTCTCCTACCTGCAGCCTGTTCTGCTTCGCTTGCAAGTGCGTCGTGGAAGTGTCTTTTGTGTTTGCGCGCGTACTCTTCTTCACTTATTTGTCCAATGTAGTGTTTTATAGGTTGTGTTCAGTTCCTCTTTTCGTTGTTCATCTCTGCGCTGCACTGGTTTGTCTTCTGCTTCACCATCCTCCTCTCCCTTCTCTATCAGCTTACATATGTCCGTCGAGATCCATTCCCTGTCTTGCCTCTTCTTCTTCCTTCTTACTACGGTTATGCAGCAGGTTTCCTTCCACGTCTCTTCGAAAGAGTTCCAGTCTTCTTCCATGGAGGTTTCTTCAGGGATGTTGCTCAATATCTCCCATTTCGTTGTGATGACTGACTCATGTGAAGATGTCCTTTGCAGTTCCGTCCTTCAGTTTCTGTTCTGAGTGTTCAACTTGAACTGTGTTCTATCACCAACTTGTTTCAATGCTTTCAAGTTGATTTTGAAGGTAGGTTCCTTGGACTAGATAGTGAGTGATGTGAACCTACATCTACTCCCCTTCTTCATCTTGTGTCCAGTAGGTTGGCTGCGTCTCCACCTTCTTGAGATTGAGATGAAGTCAATCTGATTTTGAGTGTAGTGTGTCCATCTGGTGAATGGTGAAATCCATGTCACTCGCTTTGTGAATATGCTTGTGTTTGTACACACTGCCTCCAACCACCAAATCGTTGAATGTGCAGAAGTCTGCAAACAGTTCTCCATTCTTGTTCTTTTCGCTGAGTGCTTCTCGACTCTTGAAGAGTTGTCTTCCAGTATTGTTCGCTCCGAGTTTGGCATTCATGTCGCCCATTATAATTTTGATGTCGCCAACTGGCTTGCTGTTTTTGTCCATTACTGATTGCAGTTGTCTGTAGAATTCCTTTTTCTTCTCTTGATCTGGATTATTTGTAGGCGCGTAGCGTAGGATTGTATGATTGTGACTGCTTTCTTGTGAGCTGAATCTTACTGTCATGATCCTCATCGTTGAGAAGATTGGTTCCCACTTTATGAGAGCCTTAAATGTTCGTGATATATATATATATATATATATATATATATATATATATACTGTTGAACTGAATGAAATAATAATTCGGTCTTAAGGTGTCTAATTCACCAAGAGACACGAATTAAACGCCTTTACGGCTGTCTTCAGTCATTTTGTATTCACAGCAGTTTTCAATATAACTGTCGAATTCATTAACAACAAGCTCATTTACGAATCGCAAACCAAGTAAGTTAGAGTCATGTAATTTATTAAGCAGACAAATGTGACCATTATACTTGGAAAATGAAGTAGCAACTTACCAGTCTTATAACTTTTCCATCCATATATGTACTACAAATTATTTCACATCCTTTTTTAATAATAACGTATTGATCACACATTTCACATCCCAGTTTCTTCGTAAATTCTTAGTCATTCAAACACTTATTTCACCTTAGTTTAAACAACTTAGAACCACATTTTATCGAAACTAGGCTCTGTGGCATGGTGCAAGGAAAATGAACATTCAATACGATAGAAAACAAGTTGCTCATTACATTATCGATGAAAAATATATCAATATACCTCAAGGCGAATATTTCTTTTTCATTACTTAGTATTTTTTTCGTGTTTTAAATACTGCTATCAATAATTACATTTCCTGAGGAAAACTGGGAATACCGTTTATACCTACGAAAGCACAACTTGTAAATATGATTATTATAGATGTCAAATTAATTTTCACATTGTTCATGAAAAGTGAAGAAACCCTAAACAAAATAAATGCTTGAAGATGGATGAATCATTTTCATCACATGCACTTTTATCTTAGCGTTTATTACATAAATTGATAACAGTTGGGTATCACAGTCGAAGTGATTGAAATGACCAACAGCCGGTATCGTAACTCAGTTAGTAAAAGACCGAGCCGGTAACCCAGAGGTCGCTTGGTCAAATCCTACAGATTTTCATTTCATTTTTCACCGCGCCTTTAGTCATCATACAGTATTATTATAAATATACTCTGGAATAAGGAGACATTTCTTTTGTGGAATATTCTATCTAGTTCAGGTAATATGTCAGAACTGACATTATGCTACGCACTTCTGTGTATTTGTTCTGGACAACTAGACAGAACCAATCTTAGTGAAAAACATGTTCAAATTATCGACATATGAGCTTTGTCAAACATGCGTAATTGTTTGAAAATGAATATGAAATCGTTCATTCCTATTGATTGTATATTCATTTATCTTCATAATTTTTTCTGTTATTTCAGTGGTCACTCAAGTTCAAGAAAATCATATGCACCGTCAAGCGGACGAATCTCTAATCATTCATCCAGGTCTTTAATCAATTCCTCCAGTCGAGTGAATCCTATGTTGGCTGCAAGTCTTGCATCATCGGGTAAATTGCCGAATCTCCCAATACCTCCTGGTTCCAGTGGAGGTTCAGCTGCAACAGTTGCAGCCGTTGCCGCGGCCGCAATGAATGCTGCTGCAATGGCTGCAGCCTTGGGTGCCGGAGGTGTAATATCGAGCAAACAGATGTCACATATCACCAAGGCACTGGCAACTGCTACTCGGTCAAGTCGTGATCGCCATGGCTCAACAACTAGTAGACCTGTTCGTAACTCAAGTGATAAATATGTAAGTGATGATTCTAGAAGCGGTCGCAGAGCCAAAGGTGATAGTAGAGAAAAGGACATGCTTAGCATTTTCAACGCCCGTTATTCTCGTCCAGTGGAACATCGCAATCCTGAGGATGATCCAAATGCAACTAGAACATTGTTTCTTGGGAACTTACCACCAGATGTCGAAGAACCTGAACTGAGGAAGATGTTTGAACGTTACGGCATCATTGAAGACATCGATATTAAACGTCGTGAACTAGAAACTGGAGCAACTGCATTCGCTTTTGTTAGGTATCTAAGCTTAGATATGGCACATCGTGCCAAAGTCAACTTATCTGGTCAAATGATTGGTGAATACAGATTCAAAATTGGTTATGGAAAAGTTATCCCTACACGATGCTTATGGATTGGTGGATTGGGTCCATGGACGAACTACCCTGAATTCGCAACTCTTGTCAACAGTATTAGCTCACCTGAAAAAATTATATGGCCGTCTGGTAAAAACTACGCTCATATTCTTTATGCCAACAGTGAGTTAGCAGCAGTGGCAGCTGATCTTTTGCGTGGATATCCCTTGGGAAATAGTCACAGACGAATTAGAGTAGACTTCACTGACGAGTCACATATGTTTAAAGATCCTAACTGGAAACGTTTGAAGAGAAATTCGTCCACAGAATCTAATTCTAGACATTACTCTTCAAGGCGATCACCAACGCCTCGAACTAAACGTGAAGCATCTCATTCAGATGTCTATTCTCGAGAGAATAACCATTACTCGAAATACAAACGTGATCGAAGAACGTACGATGATAGCGATCGCAGCCATTCTGTTTCGTCAAATCGTAAGAGAGAATCTGTTCATAAATCTCGGAGAGCTACGCAGGCTACACATGAACGAGCATCTAGGCGTAGTTACCGTGACCATTCACTAAGCCAAGGAGATGACTCATCTCGTTGTGTTTCACGTTCTCCTACATCGTCGAGATCCCGAAGATGTTCCTCAACCCCTTCTACACCACCAACGTTGGAGACATCTAAAAATATAGGACAATTGGCTTCTTGCCTACCAAAAGCTTGGGATGGAGCCTTCTATCTAAAGTCAAGCAGCTTTCAGTGCCGTATGCATGTTTTGAGAGGTGATAAAAACCTAGTTGATCAGTTTATGTATCGTGGGCTTAATTCAGAAGCATGTGTAGATTCAAATGGAAATCGACGTAATACTAAAAAGTCGAATAAAAATAAGCATGGATCACTAGATGATATTGACTCCAGTGAGTCGCAAGATGATGCACATGATGGTGTTGGAAGTGATGGTACGAGCAAAGACAAGGTTGTTTGTTTACGAATTACCCAAAGAATGAGACTTGATCCTGTAAAACTGGATGACGTGAACCAGCGTGTTAAAACAGTTGGTCCTAATGGCTTTTGTGCACTTTTGGCTGTACCCACACATTCTGTTTCGTGCAACGAACTTGGAGACAACGATAAACAACCTCAAAGACCCCTTCGGAATTTGGTTGCATATCTACGAACAAAGGATTCTGCAGGAGTGGTGCTTTTAAATCCTGCTGGTCATAATCAAAACGATACAGCATCTCCTTCAACTACCGAAGCTACATGTACATCCGGAGTGCTGTATGCATTTCCACCTTGCGACTTTTCTCTCAGGCTTTTGCGTGAAAGTGCTCCGCAGTTAGAGAAAGATTATTGCAAAGATGATCACTTAGTTATACTACTTATTCGTGGGACAGGCGTAGTGTAAATTATGTGTAAAAGTTATTGCATGATTCATGTTAGACCTCCAACAAACTTGTTTGGTGTTGGGACAGCGTATTGTGTTAATGCACCACTATGATATTGTTTTTTGCTGTGTAAGAAGACTACCATTTACTTTTAGTGTTAAATTTCAGCATATTACTTCATGTTCTTTAAGAAAGCATTTATAAAAAGCTTGCTTTTTCTATTTCATTTTGGAAGGAGCTGAATAAAATTTCTAGTTCGAAATTAATATTATATTCTGCATATTGTGTTTACAAAAAAGGAATTGTTTTGTTTTAAGTTAAGAATATCAAGTGTACACATATGAAGGTAGACTATAGTCTAGAGTTGAAAAGTTACTATGGCTTTGGAAGAGGTAGTTGCCGATTCGCACCAAACTTCAAAAACTAAAAGCTTCAGTTCCCTGCTTTATTCGGAACAAAATAATGCAAAGAAAGCTCCCCTCGTCTGTTTTAATTGATGGAATGTACCAGTTTCAATGATTTTTCCTCTAGCTAAGACCAAAATATCATCAACTTGTGTCGTTGTAAGCAGTCTGTGCGTAACCATTAGATATGCGCAGTCCTGTGGCAGGCTCACCAACATATTTTGAATAGACTGTTCGTTCTGTAGATCGAGTGCAGAAGTTATCTCATCCAATAACAGGAGTTTTGGCTTTCGGATAAGAGAACGTGCTATTGCGAGTTTCTGCTTCTGACCAGTGGATATATGCATACCCCGCGGACCAGCTAGCGTTTTGTAACCCTGGAAAAAATAAAAAGTGTGATCAGTTCAATCAAGTACCAGGCAGTCACTTTCGGCCCCCGGTTACCTCACTATAGCAACTCGTTACCAACGGAGGCATAAGCAAGAGATGAATATCTGTAGTCAAAATACGAATCTAAAGCAAATACATCTCAAGTGATAGTTATATGGAGTGTTTCTGTTGATACCAGTGAGTTATGAGTATGCTATACAACTGTTAGACAGTACAAATATGCTGATGATACATTAAATCAACTCAGACACAAGTTTGTCGGTCTAAGCTGCCACACTTCACAGTATTATACAGATAAGAAGTGGATAGGAAAGACTGATAGCAAAGTAGGTAGGCGCATGTGGCAAGAGGAAATGTAGAAAATTAGGTTATTCATAATAGCCAAGCTTTAGAAGAAACTGAAAAGTAGGCGCATCTGCTCCATTGTGACCGGTTTTCAGCCATTTCATTAACTGTTCTCAACCACCGATTCCTATCATCTCGGAGACCTACCTCAGCTAGGTAGTCTACAAGGCTAAAACCAACAGTCAGGGACTTCACGCACTGATGCCACATCTGACCGCCCCGAACCCTCTTCCAACCTAATCCAACTCTCCCTAACATAGCACGTCGAGGTCGGTGGTGGCTCGGCATGCGCAGTACGTGTCCAAACTATCTCAGTTGATAAACACTATCAGCTCCGCATTCTCTTCGATGTCCTTCATAAGCCTGAATAGTTGTCGGGTAGTACCTAGTACTGATGACTTCTCCATCTCTCGCTCTCGCCACTCATCATTGCTCGTCATCGCTTCATTACGGCTAGAGCCTGCCGGAATCAGTTCAGATGTGGTTGTGGGGATTTAATGGCATTTTCCAACTTCCGGGTTAAGGTTACCAACTGTCTTTACTGCTTTTTCTACAGCAGATTTTATACAGAGTCGTCTCCTTAGTATGAGCATTGCTGCCACGTTCAGATGAATGCTCTGCGTACCTTGGGGTATCATCCAGTTGACCACGCAGGTTTCACTGCTATTTGTATCGTTGAAATACGTGCTCATAAGAGTGCATGCCCCGTGTCCATCGTTCGTATGATAACGACGGAAGTTACACGAGACAGTCCCTCCTTATGTTTTAAGTTACTACTGTCCAGAAACAAGTGATTTTCAGAACAAAATTGTAACAGACAATCACTTTTAGTGGTTCATTGGTAAGGGATTCCATAGCAACCTGTAGGATGCCTACACAATTAGCTCAGCTTTCCTACTTAAGCTATAAAGTCACTTGCCATTATGATTATTTCTGGATTTTCCGCTTTCTGTAACAAAATTGATAGATTCTGATAAAATTCATCCTTTTCATCATTCAAATTGGAGTTGGTCGGTGGGTGCGTAGCAGAGGTTACGAATAGGCATCGGCTGGTCTCACCATCGCTCCTAGTTATCGCACATTCATTTATTTAAGCAGCACAAAGATGGTTGTTGACTGGTATCCAGTGGAGAAGGACACCTTATCTACAGCTCAGTGCTATATCCAAATCAGCTAATTAATGAGTCGATTGGGTCTCCGGATACTTGTATGCTGAATTTCGAAGTTTACTATAACCAGGTGAGGTCAATTTAATGACCACATTCGGGTTTTGTAAACGTATCTAAGAAACAGCATACATCCATGGGTAGAGATGACCAGAGTTAGGGTACCAGAAAAAGGGAGGTTTATGTGATCGCAGGAAATCTGTTTGAGGCCTGTCACATACAGCTATTTGCAGATTGTTGGTATGAGATTTGACTGAGCTAACACAGGATACAGAGAATCCCCGGCACCAGAAGAGCGTGGGGCAGGGGGAGTGTGCTATTTTGGGGGCAAACGTTTTATAAACCCGTCTACCGTAAGGAAAGCAGCATCAGTGTGGCACTGCTAGTCATCTACGGGAAACACTGCTACTTTTACTCACTAGCCAGCAGTATAACTTCGCATTTGGACCACCACTATAATGTAGCGGCTTACAATACAACGGTTACTGCTTTTCGTCTTATCACTATCCAGTAGACCTTTCTAACATGGTGCCACCTCAAAGGGAGCAAGCGTTCGAACTAGTGTTGTGTAATCCAGACCACCACGTCAAGCCAGCGGCTATCGGTCGGGCTGATGAAATAAAAGCTGATGCTAGGATACAACATTGTAAATTTATCATAAACTCATTATAGTTAGGAAAAACATTGATCTGTCCTATTGAAGCGAGCTGAAAGAAAAGGTAGGAAGCTTTGCTGTTTTTAGGAGCTGGTAAATATAAGGTTACTATCAGAATGACGATGACTGCGTCCTTTCCTGTAGCGCTCCAGCGCTTAGCAAAAAGCCCACGTGTTACAAAATAAGCTATGCACTTACTTGCGGAAGACCCATGATGAACTCATGAATGTTTGCAAGACGTGCAGCGTTAGTTATCTCATCCATCGTAACAGATTGCGCATTGTCTCCATAAGCAATATTTTCCATTAGGGAAAGGTTAAATAATTGTGGTTCTTGCGTTACAACACAAATTTGTTGGCGTATCCATTTGGGTGAAATGAGGCGGCTGTTAACACCATTGAAAAATATACCACAGTTTGAATTACCTCTTTCGTCGTCATACAGCCGTTGAATTAAACTTAATATGCTGGTTTTGCCAGATCCTGAAAGTCCAACAATAGCTGTCTTGTGACCAGGTCGGAATGTGTATGAGAAGTCCTGGTAAGAAAAAACGGTATATGCAGGCATTTGATACTACGATATCATATCCAGTCTCTATCATAAGGTGTTTACTGCTATCATTTCTGGCACCTAATTCTGTATGTACAAAACATAGCTGTGGCATATTGTAACCAAGCTATTTGCTATAGACGAAATTCGTGAATATAGGTTTTGACCAAATGTAACACCGTTCACTGGCATTATAATACAATTTCATGTTATGATTGAATGAAAAAGAGTTTCGAAACCTTAGGGAACTATTGGAAACTAACTTTTAGGAGATGAAAATGCTGGACTAGAATTAAAGCTAGTTTTCGATTACAGCTAATGAAGCAGGATCGATATATTTCTTCCTACTAAGTACCGCTGGGTGGCCGTTCTTACAAAGTCAGATTATCACTTAATTAATTGAAAGAGACGGATTTAAGAAATAAGATTTAAATCTTGATGTGTTTCCCGGAGCATTTGACAGGAAATCAGAATTTCGTAGGTGTGACTGCTGAAATAGAAGCCGATTTCTGATATAGTTGCACTTCAACATTCCAGCCTTTCAGACATTGCCCTCTGAATTAAGAATCAAGATGCAGTCCCACTTTATTTCTAATAGCCGGTTACTTTTATCGACCACTAAACAGCGCACTCCACTAGATGGAAATTTTTTTTTTTAAATTGACAAGTAAGTTACTTCCACCTCGGGGTTTTCGATATCTTCGTCTTACAAACTACTTAATGTGCAATGCCCTTATGCCTGCATGTTTTCGGTTTTCATTTATATGACAATTAATAGTGTTATCTGTACTTACTTTTCGCAGGCTTGAATAAGTATACGCAATGAAATTAAAACAAAATAAGGTGTATAAAATAAAAATAAGGCTAAAGTAACAATAGCTGATATCTTCAGTCCAATAAGTCTACGTAAAGTAAAATCAGACGCATGCTTGAAACAAACATTTATCAAACTTGCAAGAGTACTGTGCAAAATCTCGCAGGATTATTTGATTAGACCTCTCCTACATAAAGTAACTGATGAAAACAGAATGTCAAAATGAATGTGATGTTAGATAATAGGTACAGTATTGCATAGTCAGAATTTAGGGTGAGATAAGTAAAAAATCTTTTCGATCATAGTTAGTTCTGGTATTATGTGATGTTTAGTGAATTCACAGTTCAACACTTGAGCCGGACCGACGCTCACAAATTCACTACTCGTTTCCACTTCTCGGTATGATCATCCCAAGGTTCCTATATTAGTTGGCGTGCCGGGGCCGGTGATATGGATTCATTGTTGAATTCACGAAAAGCAGACATCTCAAAATTCTAAAGAGGCCGTGTGTAACCGGTCCCAAGCGGATGTTGGTTGGAGTCTGCGGTCACGCACTAACTGTTTGTCAGGAGCATCAAGAAAAACGACGAGTCCAGTTTGTGGGCAACTAGGAATGCCAAACCGTCCTCACAGTTCTGTCACTGCTCAAGTTATCTAAGATCGTTCATTATAAACCTTCTACTTCTTTAAATTCGTCGCGTCCCTCGCTCAACTTCCTCACACCATCTTTAATTTCTTCCGACTCCACAGCTCTTGATAACTATTCCAGTTCACGGAAAAGCATCTCGAGATCGACGTCCAAACTAAATATTGGATGTCTGTACCCTCCGACAAACCGGCCAACAAGCTTCGCTGGCTACAACTCGGGCCACGAATGTGTACTGTCTTTGTGAGGCACATATATAGAATCCAAGTGTGGTTACTGACAACCTAATCCGCCCAATATGGTGAATCTGCCAAGTTCACCTTTAGAACTTCTGGAAATTAAACGGGAATTCGTCATAGTCTTGCAGGCGTAGTATTAAGTGCTAGGGCAGTGTGCTGATCAAGCGGATCCCAGCTGACAGTTACCTATACAGTATCCTACTGAATGACATAGTGAAGATTAAAAAGAGTAGAGAAACTCGTCGCTGTCCCTCTGCAATCTCTGCTTACGCACCTACTGACTGCAGATTGGAAGAGTTCTGCCAAAAACTCTAGCTTCCTACTGAAAGTTGAGCGTACAGAAGTGGTTGTCGAAGCAGTTAATTTCATTGCACAAGTAGGTAAGCTGAGTTGGACAGAAAAGCACTTTCAGAATCTCAGACAGCGGAGATTGCGTGAGCGAACTGCTGCTGAGGAGTGAAAGCAACTCACACGTAGATTGACAAGAAGTTTATGCGATGACTCTTAAAAGATGGGAAGGGCCACAGTGACAAGTCAGAGCAGATAGCTACTTAAACTTATCAAGGAAACTAGAGAAAATGGCGGATGGTTAGTGAGACCGTGGTGAGAAATGACAGGTCAGAGATTCACTCACAGGGAAAACAACTGGAATGATGAGTAGAACAGCCAAACCGACTACTACTTTGTTGCCCACTGGTCTAAACGGCCATGGAATGGAACACTGAGATAGGGTCTCCAACACTTGCAGAAGCCGAGAAAGGTGCAAGTAATCTGAAACGAGGAGAGTCCACAAAAACGGACGGACTAGTACTGGAGATATTTAAAGACGGTAGTCGCAGATTATTGGTGAGGCTAACTGAAGTGTTAGCTAGTCTTTGGGAGTCAGACTCGGTTCCCTCTGACTGGTATCAACCACTGATTGTCCCAATCTTCAAGAAACGAGAGAAACTCCCTTGTAATAACCATAGGGGGATCGGCTTGACAAAAACTGCATCTAAGATCCCAGATTCTATAACCATTCGGCACCCGAGTAAAGCTTAGATCCAATAAACCTGAGAAAGCCAGGTAGGCTTCAGGCCTGGTCGTGGACATATTGACCAGATATTCACTCCGCAGGGCTCCGAAACGCCGGTACATTTGCCTATACTAGCTATATTTCTCGATGTGATGGTAGCATTCGACGATTGACAACTGAGAGGTGTTTTGACAGTGTCTCACGAAAGGGTGTCGGTTAAGTACATCACCCCGTCAAAGCCTCTTTATTCGAACACGCGTAGGCTTGTAAGAGTTCATGGTCAGTTGTTTGCATCAAATGTCTGCACTCTCTCTACTCTTGATTCTATTAAAGACATATTTATGAAGGTCTTACTTTCGTCGTCTGACTTCGCAGATGTCAACCTCATCACAAGAGAACCCTCAGTAGATTTAGAGTAAACGGATGACATATTCCTGTTAAGTGAAGACGCTGACATTATGACGTATTGTGGATACCTTGAATGCTAACTTGCTAATGTTTGGCGTACGTTTCTCACTATCCAAATGTAAATTGTTGCTCCGGCGCCTCTGACTGATTTGCCTCGGTGCATTGTCTGACAGTAGGGAGCGAATTGGTTGAACGCGTTGACAACTTCACTTACTTAAGAAGTCAGATCAGCCCTAGTAGGTCAGTGACCAACGGAGTCTTTGCACTCACACAATAGGCTCGTTTGGTCTTTGACAGCTTACTCGGTTTATGATGCCATAGTGATCTCTGATTCCGTCTTGAGGGCTGTGTGCTGTGCTGCAGTTCTCTCCGTTCTACTATATAACTGTAAAACAAAGTCATCAAAGGTAGAGTATTTGAGGAGGCTTCAAGTGTTCAATCACTGCTATCTTCATAGGATAAACCGTCTGTCGCGGTGTCACCATGTTAGTGGCGTGGACGTCGGATGCAGTTTTAGTTGAAGGAGGTTGCGAAGCTTCACCGACTGAGATAGCTGCGTCATATGTTATTCAAACCTAGTCACTACCTTTTCTGTACCACAATGTTAGGTTAAGATCTAGTTTGTCTGAAAAAATATTGGAGGTGGTCAGAGTGAAACATTGCATCAGTCCACGGAGTATTTGACTGTTGGTCTGAGTCATGTAGGGGAATGTAGACTTCATCGTTGCGGTCCATGTGACAGCCGAAAGTTGCGGTTTAAGATTAGGTGATATGGTTCAGAATCGGCCTCAGTAGTGCAGATGGATTCACACTTTTCATTTTAATTGTCATACCGAATTTCAGCGTTTGGTCATTCTTCTTTTCTTTTGATGACTTTCTGCCAGTTTCGATTTCTGTTTTTTTTGTTTAATTCCATGTGTTCTCGGTTGATATGTTGTGGTAACTAGGACCCAATGCAGGAATGCCAGCTTCTACGCTTATTTTTCCTATCTGTCTATATTAGTTCTCTCAGTTCTTTCAGTGTTTATTGTGTCTTGTAGATTCACCATTTTATGTACTGATTCATTTCTTTGCCTAAAACCACTTCTAAATTAAGAATTACTCACCAGTTATTTCTGTGACATACAAACGCTCCTTTAAAAATGATACTGTTCAGATATCATCCCAATTGCTGAATTCATAAACATAGTTTCACAATTGATTTGTCGAACACAATAGATTGGCGAGTTGCATCCTATTCCTGTTTTGACCATTTAAAAATAATTTTCAACACAGAGAGCGTGTATCGTTCGATCTCTCTCCTGCAGCTGGTTTAACGGGTATGTAAAGTCAACAAGCAAGTTTACAGAGTGATATGGTCATTATACTATGCGTTGTTACTGCTCGATAACCGCTTTATACATTTCGTGTTTTATCAAATCTGTACATGCAGTAACTATAAAGTGAGTGGTTCCACAATCAAAGTTGAAATAACTAGTGTGACTTCGGTAGTATGAAATACATATGAATTTACTTTTCCATGATGAAGCAGTTATACGAGCACAGACCTACTGAAAATAGTAAGTGAGTAATGAAATGAAGAAATACATAAAGAGATGAAATATGTCTAATATACACTGCATTCCAGGTACGATGATCAAATTAAAGTAACAAAACAGTTCATGAACGTGAACCACACAGCCCACTATTCTGTCACTAACTACACTGTACAAAGACGGTCTCAGGTGGAGTAGTATGATAAGAGTAAAACCTAAGCACTGTGGTAGAATGTAATTCCATTTGGGATGATTTATTAGGTTTATCATACAGGGGAACAGAATTGCTTACTAGATTACGTTTCGGACATGACTTATATAGTGAGTTATCAAAAATAATTACCTTTAGAATCCAAGATTCCGGCCTAGATGGATAACGGAATGAAACCTTTCTGAATTCAATAGGTATTTCATTTATAGGTTGCTCAAGACATAAACCTTCATTTACAGGTATATTGGATTTCCGATCAAGAAGTCTGAAAATCCGATCGGCTGCCAGTGAAGCATGTTTTAATTCAGGTCCTATATGTGATGTTCTACCAAGCGCCTGAGCAGCAAAACTGATAGCAGCGAAGACCCTATCAAACAATTAGAAAAAATAGGAGATAAAATATAGAAGTGAAGACAATAATTCTAAGGAGTGAGATACATATGAGTCAGGTTTTTGTACACTGGATTTGATGAGTGACATATAACCTACTGAGGACATTTACATCCGTGTTTCCAACACCTATTGTGGCAATAAATTTTCAAATAAGGAACAGATATTTGGATAATGCAGAAAACAAGATTTTTTCTTAGTATAAACTAGTTTCGATATAAAAAAACAATGAAAAGGTCAATCTTCGACATAATGTCTTAGCAGTGAAGTTCCTGACCTCAGTGCAAGTTCTAATGTCCAAAGAAGTGTAAATTACACCAAGGCTGCAGGTATGCTTTGATGACAAACGCAAAGAAGTATGACTTCTTGCCAAACAATATCAGGTATTCAGTAACAGAAACTATAAGACAATTGTGCAGACAGACTAACCAACATTTTAATATTTCTTACCTCAATAGCTACCTAGTTTATTCGTTGAGACCATATCCTACAAGAAATGTAGGAGGAAACTGGTTAGTCTCATGTCCTAAAACAAAGTTCTACTGCTGATTGAGTCGGAATGTAACATCAATAACATTCCATCGGTAGTTTTGATGAAGGATAACTTATATTTGAAAGATTAGCGACTTCAGGTTCTGTACTGTTGATGCTTGCCTTGACAAGGATAACAATTTGAATAGAATTAGTTTTATTACTGATATAAAGTGGCATACTGATAGTTGGTCGATTACTCGGGAACTGGAAGTACGGTTACGCACCAGTGTATCACAAAGGTAACTTAGCGCAAAAATTAATGGTATTCTTTATCGGTTTCAAATTACTGACAAATCTGGTGCTTAATGTATACTTTTGTTTTCTTCTGGAAGATTCGAAACAAGTTGATTGGTCGTTAGAATGTAAGGGATTTTGGCTTTCTTTGAAGGACCTGGACAACATAACAATTATCAGTCACCCAAAGCTGTTATTCACTTAAATTCCTACTTATAAATCCGTACGGATATATGAATCTAAGTTATGCAAATAACATAAACAGTGATCTTATTATTTTAAAGTACGTTAAAACGGCCATAAAATGTTCCTGTGATCAAAACCACTGATGACAAAGAAATTCCTTTTATGTTTAAGTAATAGATAAATTTTTAAAAAAATACTAATTTTATAAGTAATCAATTGACGAATATGCATTTCGTGGGTGAAAATGAAAATGAGAAAACTCAATTACGTCTGGATACATAAGTATGCTTGGGTTGACATATGTTTGTTTTAAAAAAAAGTGTTCTGAGAAACCGAATTTCTGATGAAGTATCTTACTGTATATCATAGTGAACTGACTGATAGTTGCCAGTATCATTCTTTTCGGTTGTCTCATACACTTGTACAAAAGACATACGTTTAAAAAAAAGTACTCAGCAACCTTGTGCACATCCGTGCAGTAACAATGAATCAGACCTATTGTGTGAGGGATAGTGATACCACCTGACTGCTCAAACCTCGGTAGATGGAGCGGGACTCGATTCCGTGAATATGCGTTTAGGGAATACGACGTTTCGCCTACACAAAAATACAGGTAATCTCTGAGTGGTACAGCTTCGTATATACTCTGAAACATTTTTACTCATTCACAAATGTCTGTTATCAGCACCACTTTGATCACATGGAATGATATAAAGTCTGATTAAACATAGGTAGGTTTTAACTAGCCATAACATAATATCAACCTATATTAGACAATTGAGTCCACCTTCATATGGACAATAGGTGTGGACTTACTCAACCACCCCACATTAAATGCATTGTAATGAAAAGACGTGACCTTCAAGATGTATCCATCATGTTGTTTACAGAATCATCTTTAGGTTAAATCTATGCAGTTTCTTGTCATACATGTAGATCTAACGTAATACACATGTAAGAAAGAGGTCTTGCTGGGTTAGTCATGCTGCTGCAACTAGCCCTTAAAAAGATGTGTCTCTAAAATACTACGAAGATATAGGATCTAAATAAAGTAAAATCAGGACACACTTTTAACTGCTGAAAGGCTTTGGTGGTAGTTCTTGTTTGAACATTCTTCGTACAGAAAAGCCAATAGCAATACAACTGCGAAGAAGTAGCTTAATGATTTACTAGTCATATCCCACAAGTTACTAGTAAATTCTCATCACCATTTTGAACATCATAATTACAATGGTTATTACCTAGTGGCCAGCTTTTACGCATGATGCGATGGCTACATAGAATCAGTTTTGTTCTAAATAGCTTAAAAGTAAACCTTTTGAGTTTGAAACTAAGTAAACCAAGTTCGAATTTTCAAAGAAAAATAAGCCTGTTCCAGACTGCAGATACCACAAGATGATAAATGTCCGGATGCATGAAATCAGAATAAGACAGATGTATTTTGTCCATCGACTACAAACGTCTAAAGTTTCAATGTTGTTACTTGTATTATCCTATCGTTAAGTGGATAGAAATGATCGGACTTGCTGGCATATGGGCTCCCAGACGGAAACCTCGATATTGCCTGTTTGAGTTATATATTAAGTAATGGATAATGGTTGGTAGTGAAATCCAGGACATGGGTTTCGTACTAATTGGGACCAATCAGCTGGATGTACCTGCCTCCTAATGAATGATATTGTCTTCACTAGGACTCGAACTCGGGACCAATCGCTTCAAACGCGAGGTCGCTATTCACTAGATCACTGAGTCACGATAGCCACTTCATGTGTGACGGGTATAGTTTTTAATGCTGTTGCTTCTATTATCCCGTCGTTAATATATAATTCAAACGGGCAATATCGAGGCATCCGCGAAGCAGCCCATACGCTGCACATGGAAACAGATCACTTTGATCGACTCAATGACGGGATAATCCAAGCAACAACACTAAAACGTATACCCATCCTGCAAGAAGTTGCTATTATGACTTCATGGTTTGGTGAATAACGCCCTGGTGTTTGATGCGATTGGTCCCGGATTCGAGTCCTAGTAAGCAAACACATCAAACTGACGAGTCCTAGATAGGATGAAAGGCCATTCTGGATTCCACTGCCAGCTACTATCTAAAGTTTCAGTTGATATCTGTTACATGAAAGTGGCTCTAAGTAAAAGGAATACCTAGTTACTGATTAAATCACGAAAGATGGTTGCTAGCAAGAATTTGGACACACGTATGCACACCTGTTCAATTCACATGTTCAGGCAAGTGCTAATAGCATCCAAAACGATATGCAATGAATTTAACGTAGTAGTATCCATTAAAAAGGCCAAAAAAGCATAAAGCAGGACAATGAAAAAGGATTCATACCGAAAGTACCTGAAGAGCACCGAAAATGCGAGGCAACTTTGAACATCAAACAAAATGTAAAGAAGTTTGATTTAAATAACAAATAATACCCTGGAGAAGCTAATTATCCCAGAGTGGCGAAATTCAATATTTGATCATTTCAATACGAAATAGGTAAAAGTCAACATACCTAAATATTGCTATCAAATTGATTTCTCCTATACTCATCAAATAGGCTCCACAGGAAAATGCAGCAGCATATGAACAAATTGGCAATGATTGAGCTAATGCATAAACAAGTGCATACATTACAAAGGCACGGTTTTCAGCACTAATATTTACATGAGAAAAATGGAGCGCAAATGAATCAGTAATTAAGAAAACACCTTCATAGTAAAATGATATGATATGACATTATTTAAAGAAACAATAACTCTTCTGTAGAGACTAAACCAATGACTTTCACAACTTATTCTCACTGTATTCTAGTGTCTTACAATAAATATCGTAGCTCTTATCAAGAACTGACTAACTTGGTAATCATTGAACGTTGGAGATGTCTTTTCAACATGATTCAACAGTCCTAAAAAGCGCACATCCATAATCGTAAATTTGTTTGAGGTAAGGACTTCCGAATTATGCGGAAACCAGATGCTAATTTTTATTCACTAAGCTGATCTTTAGTGGTTTAGACTTAAAAACCCTAAATTATTAAAACATACGTAAACAGAGAGCGATAAGAAAAACAAATGCTTTGTATCATCAATGTGTAAAGCATTTTGACAAGAAAGAGTGACTGGAGTACTAATCAAGATTCACCTTTATTGATGAACTGTTGCAAATAGAGATAAACCAATCCTTCTAAGCTGATGATTTCTGATAACTTTATTTGCCTGGTCATTGTAGTTTTTAGTAGACTGCTGACACAGTACCAACAACATACCAGTAATTATAAAGTTCAGTAGTGCACATTTGAGCATGAAATAACTCCATTATTAAATAACTAACGTCGATATAAAACAACACCTTTCTTAGTTTTTTGGTGCACGCTATATTTGCTGTCCCAAAAGTTTCCATAGTGTTTGCTAGCCCTGTGACTGCTTGTAAGAAGTGAGAGAAGTGGTCAGTTTGTGAAGCATTATCGTGGAATGATAAAAAGATTTTTTTGTTTAGCAAAACTAGTCCAGTGTGACTTTCTAAATGGGATCCAAATGACCATGCAACTCAGTATCTTGGAGGGTTAATATATATTTCCCAAAATGGATACCAGTAGTGAGCATATTTTAGTTTTTCTTGTCCTTTTATGACTGAATAGTAATACTGAAAAGCAGTAGAAGAATTTGCTGCGATTGCTTCTTTCTGTGACGATTGGTTGCTATTCATATCGTTTTCCAGTCATTTTCACGATGTTATTACACTGATTCATGTGGCACACTTTATGGTGCTCATATTGAAAGAAACTGGTGTCGAAATAAGTAAAATAAACAAGGAAGACCAGTATTACGCTAAATAGGTGTGCATTACATTTTCAAGCCCAATGTTAACTCTGTGAACGGTGAAAAGTAGGAGACAGAGACGATTTAGAGATTGATGGTTGCAAAGTGTCAGGCTGTTTACTTTCCGCTAGGGTTTCAAATCGAAAAATCAAAATGAAAGCTGGAAATCTGACTACTGTAATCTTAGGTAGTTGCACGATAATCTCAATTCATTTCAAGAGTGAAGTAAGCACTAGCAATTTCATAGTTCTGAGACCTTGGGTAACATGTAAACATCATTCACAGAAAAACCCAGCTCATAGAAGAATGCAATATCTGAATTCTGAACTACATGTATTTGTGCCCAACAATATGTGCAATTTGTTTTTTAGTTGATAAATAATGACGGTTAGCAAAGTAGGATATCAACTAACTTACGCCATTTCTGAGCTGAGTATAGAACAATACTGTTTATAAAAGTAATTCTCCAAACTATAAGCATGTACTGTTCTTGTTGAGCAAAGAGCTTCGTAAATAACGCGAGCAGCCATACTTTCTTTATTACCACTAGAACCTTTACGAATCTGACGAAGCTGTGTGTAATGGAAAGTGATAAATAATAGTTTTTGAAGTTAAATTCTATGCTATTTATATATTACGGAAAAAAGAGAGAAAATAATCAAATATTTGGGTATATTTTCTCTCTTCGTCTAGGTAATTGTAGTATTACTACGAAAACAAACCAAGTAAAACTAAACTTTCAATGGTCATCCATGACTAGTTTGAGAACAGTTGACCATAGTTTGTTACAGATATTATTGTCTGTAGAGTTACAGTCACGTTAAGCTTTATGGTTCAGAGTCGAAACAAAAGTAAAAGTGCACTTTTGAAGGAATCTAAAATAGAATCAAACACATCTACTACATACTCCGATTTAACAGATGAAAAGAATACAATTCTCTTGAAAGACTATAAAGGTTACATATCACATACAGTCTTTGTATGACATAACCATTAAACGGTAGGCCAGATTATTTTACAGTCTTTGCTCCTGACTAATAGATGTCGAAACGAAAAACGTGGTTACTAAAACTGGTGGCAAATTACTTTATTTATTGATAGATATTGGCGCCAAAAGCATACAGGAAACTACAACCCTACGCTTCATACTTCTCAGAAGACATAAGCTCGATATGCATACATATGCTGTCAAGCAATCCTACTGAACGTTTCTAAATGTGTAAGACACACATCTATGTAATACTTTCACATTCATGCATCAACTAGACAAAATTTCAACCATGTCTAATAAGCCTGCATAAACGATTTAAACCATCTTACAGAATCAAAACATGGAGCTGTAAACCTTACATACTTCAAACTGACAATCAGTGGTTTGATAAGTAAACGGTTTGTTCGCTCTGGAATCGTCTTCCATATACACTAGGCAGTATAGAGTGTGTAGTTAACCGCTGTCTTTGGATGCATATTACATGCTTTCTTAAGTACAACTTTAAACCTAGTCTCAAAAATGGAATATTCCAAGCTGACGTTGACAAAGAGGAAGAAAACCCACCAAAATTATTTTCAACTACAAAAGTAACAATATGACCAACCTGAAGCGAAATTCCATAAAAGTCAATCAAACTTATTGTTATGAGTTCGAACACGCTAATGGTATATGTATATATTACAGAACGAATATAATACACGCGCTTAGCTGACAGCTAACTTGGTACGCAAGAGACACTGGCTGCAACCCCGGGACGAATAGAGACAAGACCGAAGCTGGCAGATGGGAGTGTATTACTCCGAGAATATAATATAACAACAATGAACCAATCCAAAACACGTGGATAAGTAAAACGCATGAAAAATGACCTTGTCCGCAATTGGAGAAATTCGCATAGTAAGGTTAAAAGTTAACCTCGCCTGGTTAACTAGTTCACTAGTTACTAGCCGGTCCTAAGCCCCAATAAAGAGGGAACGTTGGGCATAGGGCTAGCAACCCTACCCCGTAAAACAAATCTAACCGCTAAAGAAACTACAAAGCACAAACGATATAGAAAAAATAAAAACAAACTTATTCCTCGCTGGAGTCGGAGAGGCGAAATGACGCCAGTTGGTGAGAGCCTACAGCAAGGCTACCCAGATTGCAAGGGAGATGAGAAGGTATAATTTTTGGGTGCTAGGAATCTGCGAAAGCAGATGCAATGGGAGTGGACTCTCCAAACTGTCAACTGGAGAATCAATAATCTAACCCGATATTGTCACCCAGACGACAACCACGAGCACACTGAATCATGGAGTGGCTATCATGATGTCCCCAACAGCATCGAAGGCTCTCATGCAGTGGGAACCAATCTCCTCTTGCAGGATCATAACAGCAAGGTTCAACTCAAAAGGAAGGAAGGTCACAATCATACAATGCCACGCTACACACCTACAAATAATGCAGAGCAAGAGAAGAAAGAGGAATTCTACAGACAACTTCAATCAACACTGGACAAGACTACAACTCAGTTGGCGATATCAAAATTCTAATGGGTGACATGAATGCCAAACTAAGAGGGGACAACACAGGAAGAAAACTAACCATGGGTCGACGAGCGCTCGGTGAGGTGATGAACGAGAATGGAGAATTGTTTGCAGAATTCTGTGCATTCGACGATTTGATGATTGGAGGTGAGGCAGTGTGTTCAAGCACAAGGATATCCACAAAGCGACATGGATTTCAACGTTCACCAGATGGACACGCTAAAAATCAAATCGACTTTATCTCAATCTCAAGAAAGTGGAGACGCAGTCTACTTAACACAAGGTCAAGAAGAGGAGCAGATGTAGGCTCACTCCACCCACTATCCAGTGCAAGGAACCAAACCAAGTTGAAAGCCTTCAAGGAAGCTGGTGATAGACCTCAATTCAAGTACAACACTCGGAAACTGAAGGACAAAACTACAAAGGAATCTTCACGGCAGCCATCAAGACAAAATGGGAGATATCGAGGAACAGCCCTGAAGAAACCTGTGTGGAAGAACACTGGAAGTCTTTGAAAGCTATGTGGAAAGAAACCTGCACAATATTAGGAAGGAAGAAGAAAGAAGACAGGGAATGGATCTCGACGGATACATGGAAGCTGATAGATGAGAGGAGGATGGTGAAACAGAAGATAAACCAGTGCAAGGATACACAACGACAAGAGGAACTGAGCACAATGTATAAAACATTGGATAAAGAAGTGAAGAAGAGTGCACGCAAAGACAAAAGACACTTCTACGAAACACTGGCAAGTGAAGCAGAACAGGCTGCAGGTAAAAGAGACCTGACAACACCATATCAAATAACCAGGTTGCTATCTGGGAAGAGACCGACACAGATGAAACCAATAAAAGATGGAGAAGGAAATTTAGTTACGAAAGAAGAGAAACAGAGGAAACGATGGGCTCACCACTTCAAGAAGCTCTTGAATCTACCACCATCAACACCTGCACTTCGTCCAGAAATACCACCTACAGCCCAGCCGCTGAACTACAAGTGAACATAAAACCTCAACAAAAGTGGAAGTCCTGAACACCATAAAGCTACTGAAATGCGGGAAAGCAGCACGACCAGATGGGATCCCACCAGAAGCACTGAGAACAGACGCAGACAACAGACAACAGAGGACATGCTCACACCACTATTGCAAAAGCTGTGGAAGGAAGAGAAGGTACCTGGCCATTGGTTGGAAGAAGGGTTACCTTGTCAAACTCCGAAGAAGGGCGACCACAGTGTATGCAAGAACTGGTGCGGAATCACTCTCCTGTCCACCCAAAGCAAGCAAAATATTAAGCCGCGTCATCCTGGAGAGGCTTAAGGATGCACTGGATTCAAAACTAAGACCCGAACAGGCTGGCTGGCTGGATTCAGGAAGTACAAATCATGTGCCGATCAAATTGCAACGCTTCGCATCATCATAGAACAGAACACAGAATGGCAGTCAACTCTACACCTCAACTTTATCGACTTTGAGAAGGCCTTTGACAGCGTCGACAGAGAGGTAATTTGGAAACTGCTTCATTACTACAGAATACCACAAACCTTTATCCGCCTCATTCAACAACTATATGAAGACGCCACATGCCAGCCAAGTAATTCACAATGGACAGCCCAGCTCAGTGATGTTTTTGAAGTGAAGACAGGAGTGAAACAAGGTTGCCTACTATCCCCCATCATATTCCTGATTGTGTTGGACTAGATCATGCAACAAACTGTAAGGAGCGAGAAGAGGAGGATACAATGGACTGCGGAAAAGAACCTAGAAGATCTGGATTTCGCCAACGATGACTTGTGTCTGATGTCACACAAACTTGAAGATCTACAGGCGAAAACTAACAAGTTGGCAGAAGAGGCAGCGAAGACGGGACTTTCTTCAGGTGAATATAGAGAAGACACAGGTGATGAAGATACCGCACCAACAACTCCAACAACAACAACAAACTCCTATCACCATCAACGGGAGAAACTCAAAGGAAGTAACCTCCTTCACCTATCTACGAAGCACTGTTTCAACTACAGGCGGCACAGGCACAGATGAGGATGCCAAAGCCAGCCAGGATCAGAAAGACAGCCGGACAGGCGTTCATTAGTCTGAAACCAGTGTGGAGATCTTCTACACTCACCACAAAGAGTGAACAAGATCCGGATTTTCAACACCAACATCAAGTCAGTGCCTCTGTATGGCTCAGAGACTTGGCGCGTTACGAAAGGCATTTCCAATAAACTACAGACATTCATCAACAACTGCTTACCCTGACTCGCTACTGAAGATCAGATGGCCAGAATAATGAGAATAAGCAACAAGGAACTCTGGCTGGCAACGAACCAACCAAGAACCTATCGCTCAACAAATATGTAGAAGGAAGTGGAGATGGATTGGGCATACACTGAGAAGGCCGACTGGGGACATCATGCGTGTGGAATCCCCACGGGAAACGACGAGTTGCACGTCCGAGGGTGATATGGAGGAGATCGTGCGAGGAAGAAATGGGAGGTTGTGGGCTGTCGTGGAACCAGGTTGAAAAAATTTCGGCGAACAGAGTTCACTGGAGACGTGCTACTGAAGCCCTATGTTCCATTAGGAACCCAAGGGACTAATTATTATTATTATTATTTAAGAGTAAAAGTTAACCAATCAGCAAATTACATTACAATGGGGGCAGAAATAGATTATTAGTCATACCGTAAAAATAATGTGGGAATGACACGTTAAAATGTTTGGATCGATAATAGTGTTTTATACACAACTGGGGCATCACAACATATATTGTTTCTTCATGGCATTTTCTCTAACAAGAGATTGTTCATTTGGAATCCCCAATCTCCTACGAATACGATTTTTGTAACTTGGGTGCCACCGGCGTTGAAATTTACATTCACCCGCTTCTGCCATGTTCTTCCTGTTTCCATTTCTGCCCAAGCTCAGCGCTGATAGATTGTTTTTGGAACCCATCTACTACTTCCAAATATGTTAGCAATCTATTCTACGGCAGTACCCCTCAGGTATTGTCGTCATCGCATCTTTCGATCACTCGAATGGTGTTGCGGAGACTAGATTTGCACTAAACTGGATCCATTAACATTGTTTTCAAGTTGCTCAATTTTAAATATATATTTACATTAGTATCACTGCTTGTATTATACCATCGTTGATTGAATCCGATTGATCGGTCTCTATTGGGATATGCGCACTTCGTCCTACTTGAGACTCGTCAGCTGAATGCACCTGCCTTCCAGTCAGTGATGGGTTCTCACCAAGATTCGAACTCAAGACCGATCCCTTCAAACGCTAGAGCGTTGTCCACTACACCACCGAGCAACGATAGCCACTTCTTACTTGTTTAAGGGACTCAATTTTCACCTAAAAGGTCATCGAGAGGGACCATTCATCACCTATCAAGATTTGAGAATGCAGTTAGTAACATTAACATACATAGACACAAAATAGGTATGGTTCATGGACCAGTGCACATGAAATCCCGGATAACTGTTGAGTTATAGTGACTTGAGAACACAAAAGTAGCTAGATACTTCACAAGTGAGATATTCAAAAATTAAAGTTTAATGAGCAGTAAGGTGACTTAGTATGACAGCTTATAAATTCAAAACACAACCAGCAGGTAGATTCCGAAGGTAGCACGCAAATATATGTAGTGCATACATAACAAGTCAGTTTCATATTTTAGTTTTAGGTGATTAATCGATCAAGTGTAGTTTATTTATTTATTATTTATTTATTAAACACCGAAAAATTTATAACTATTCAAAATACAGTAGAATAAGTAGAACAGAAATTAAAATGGTATATAGTTAGAACTAAATAGTTCTCCAACAAACAGAAGCTACAAATATCACAGAAGTAACATACCTGTAGATAACCTGACAGCATAATCACAGGGAAGAAAAAAAACACTACCAAGGTCAACTTCCAGTTATAAACGAGACCGATAGTTAGTGAAATCAACACTAGGACAATTGATTCAATTAAACGACCTAATGAGGTACCACATAGTGTATTCACTTTATTTGCATCTGATGTTAACATAACTAATAGACTGGGTGGATGGTTTTCTGGTCTATCATGCCATGCCATTTCCTGCAGTAAAGATATTGTAAAATTTAAAAAAGAATATTGACTATACGTTGAATAATGAAATCTCAAAGCATTCGTTTAACCAGCTCATTCTAACAGAAACCGATCAATTCTGTCCAGAAAAATAGACAACAGAAAATTGTAAGTCTCAAAACACAACAACTGACATGTCTTGTAAAAGAGATGGCTCACATGATTAAGTAACCTGGAAGATAATGCTCCGGTATTCAAAGTAGATGGGTTTCGAATGACGTGGTTGAGGGAACACCACTTTGTGAGATGCAGGTACATCAAACTAAAAGTCTACGAAATAGGACAAAGTTGACGATTTGGATTCCACTGCTAGACACCATCAACCAATTAGTAGTAAATAAAGTGATGAAACTCAAGTATTGAATAAAAACGAATCAATAAATAAATTAAACATCATCAGTGCTCCTTCCACAGTCAAACACTGCCATAACACTAAGCTTGACAGAGTCTAGAAATATGGCAAATGTCAGTCACCAGTAAGTATGCTTGTGTTAAAAAACCTGAAAAATGGTGAAAATCTGACCGATGAATTGTCTTCCAGGTCTGAAATCTGCCTGATTTCCTCGAATTTGCTATTCTTCAGCTCCAGTTGGGCTTCAGATGACTTTATACTCCAGGATCTTGGACGTGAGCTTAGTTAAACTGATCACCACTAAAATCATCACAGGATGACTTCTCTTCTTTCTTTTAATTGGAATGACCAGTGATGTAAGCCATCCTGAAAGGAATACCTTTCGTTTCCATATGCTTCCTAGTACCTCCGTTACTCTATCCAGTAGTTAACTTCTGATAGCAAACTATTAGGTCCTGATGCTTTGTATTATTTCAGGTTTGAAACAGCCTTCGATGACAGTTCAAGGATGGACATTAGCGTCCTATTTAGGTTTGGGCTGACGGTTGGACTGTTCTTTTTATGATGAAATATATAAGCAAACTTGCCTATAAATAGTCGTTTTATACTAAATTATACACAGGATGTGGTAATTTAAAAAAGTACCGACAGTTCAATACAGATTTATGTACACTGAATGAATGAAGTTGACCTAGGTGCAGTTCCGTTTGCACCCTCCATGTAAATATGGGTGCGCACTGCTGAGTCTCATACTGGGATAAAACAGCTGTCCAGTGCTCTCAGGTTTCCAATGTTTCTCCAACTGATGTCAGTTCATGATAAATACCAACCTGAAATATGGGTTTCTTGATCCAAACTTTGTATACTTTTTGTTAACGAGTTTTCCCTGGCAAAGAATATTTATCGTATGCATGCACAAAATGATGATATATGATCGATTTGTTTTAATGATTATATTACAAAATACACAATTGTTTCAGCTTAAAGTGACTATATGAATTAAATACGTGAATGAATTTCTCTGAAATGTGAACAACTGCGTATACAATTCTCTGATAAAACAAAAAGAAACTTTTATAAGATATCTACCAACTAATGTCCATTGGTTAACCAATCTGCCTGATAGAGTGCTTTAGCAAGTAAATATCACCTCGAATAGCTCAGTGAGAAAGTCTTCAAATCTAAAATTGAATGATCGTGGTTAGGATATATGAGGGGATATTAATTTTTACGAGGTGAAACCTGACTCTACAGTTTCCTATGCATCATCTCCAACATTCCAAGAAAGGCAACTTTTCAGAGCAGAATAAAATGAACAGTCTAACCATTAGTGACAGTGAGCTTAGAAAAACACCATAATTTATGTATGTATCCTGGTATGTATGTTTCGGAACTAAAATGTATATGATAACTGTAGAGTCGGTTACTATACAGTCTTAAATTTACACTCAAGTAGATTTTTAAGGTTTCTTTCTAGTATTATGAATGTTCATCAATCACATTTAATTTCTGATAGCTGTCTTCCCTTGAAATAGTTGCCAGTTTTAGAAACATGTGGCTACATCTTGGTTTGGTCAACCTTAGGCTACTTCCACCTCAATCCTATTTCAGATAACACTGCATGCCGAGGTATTCGGAGGGTTGGATATGTACTGACCGTGCCGAGCTACCGTCGACGTGCAATGCTAGGGTAAATTTGAGTGAGTTCGAAAAGGCCCAGTCCATAAAGTATCCGACTATTGATGTGAGCGCCATATGAAAGTGTAGAACACCTGGTTGGAGGTCTTGAAGACGATAATAATCAATAGTTGGAGAGCCTTAGTGACATGGTTGAAAACCGGTCGTCACAATTTAGTAGATATATTCACTCTTTGACGTTTTCTAAAGTTTGAACATACTCACTAACCTTCATTTATTTCTCCTCTATCATCTACCTTCACAATTTCGTCAACGTTAATAATCACTATTCTTCTGTTTACTTCTTCCATGCATGCTACTGTGGTGTCACAATTTGACTTGATGCACTTCTGTGCACGGTTCTGCGTCGATTGTGTCCGTCTGTTTTATCTTGAATACAAAATATCAAGTAATATTTAGTCAATATATACGTAAAAATAAATATTTACCAACCTGTCTTAGCATAGATGCGAATAAATTTTCACGCAGACGTCGAGTAAGTTTCTGACCAGAAACGCCTAGAAAGTAGCCCTGAAGAAATAAACATAAAAGATACAGAAAATAATGCAACTCTGTTACGAAAATGAACAACACTCCATTAATTCAAACAGTATAGTAACTTACGACGTTGATTTATAGTAGAAAGGAGAATAAAAATCGTGTGTCGTACAAAAATCTATAAAATAAAACTACGATCCTGAATTATAATTAGGAATAAGACAAGTGAATCTAAGTAGAATAGTAACGCCTTTTTTCCACGTACAAGACAGCTGAGCAAAGTAGTTGAAGCAAAATTGCGACCGAATAAACAGTTCATCTCGTGGTTCAACCAGCAGAATGATAAGTGAATTTATGTGGACTATGGACGAAGTTAACCTCGCCTAGGTAACTAGTTCACTAGTTACTAGCCGGTCATACGATGGATAAAGAGGGGAGGTTGGGCATAGGGCTACCAACCCCAACCCACTAAACCAAGCTAACCGCTAAAGAAACTTCAAAGCACAAAGAAAATATAAAAAATAAAAGTGAACTTATTCCCTACTGGAATCGGAGAGACAAAATGACGCCGGTTAGCTAAGGCCTTCGTCAAGCAAATCTGCCGATATGTCTTCTCTCGGTGAAAGCGAAAGTAAGGATGGAGACATGGAATGTCCGCACAATATTTGAACCTGCTAACAAGAATGGAGAACTGTTTGCAGGCTTCTGCACATTCAACGATTTGGTGGTTGGAGGCAGTGTGTACAAACACAAGCATATTCACAAAGCGAGTGACATGGATTTCACCATTCACCAGATGGACACACTACACTCAAAATCAGATCGACTTCATCTCAATCTCAAGAAAGTGGAGACACAGCCAACCTACTGGACACAACATCAAGAAAAGGAGCAGATGTAGGTTCACACCACTCACTATCTAGTCCAAGGAACCTACCTTCAAAATCAACTTGAAAGCATTGAAACAAGTTGGTGATAGAACACAGTTCAAGTTGAACACTCAGAACAGAAACTGAAGGACGGAACTGCAAAGGACATCTTCACATGAGTCAGTCATCACAACGAAATGGGAGATATTGAGCAACATCCCTGAAGAAACCTCCATGGAAGAAGACTGGAACTCTTTCGAAGAGACATGGAAGGAAACCTGCTGCATAACCGTAGTAAGAAGGAAGAAGAAAAGGCAAGACAGGGAATGGATCTCGACGGACATATGTAAGCTGATAGAGAAGGGAAAGGAGGATGGTGAAGCAGAAGACAAACCAGTGCAGCGCAGAGATGAACAACGAAAAGATGAACTGAATACAACCTATAAAACACTACATTGGACAAAGAAGTGAAGAAGAGTACGCGCGCAAACACGAAAGACACTTCCACGACGCACTTGCAAGCGAAGCAGAACAGGCTGCAGGTAGGAGACAGAGACCTGACGACACTATATCGGATAACCAAAAAACTATCTGGGAAGAGATCAACGCAGATGAAACCAATGAAAGATAGTGAAGAAAACCTAGTTAGCAAAAAGGAGAAACTAATGAAACAACGGGCTGACCACTTGAAAGAACTCCTGAATCGACCACCACCACCACCTGCAACTCGTCCAGAAATACTACCAGCAACCCAATCACAGAACTACCAGTGAACGCAAACACTCCAACAAAAGCAGAAGTGAAGTCCTGAACGCCATAAAGCTCCTGAAATCCGGGAAAGCAGCAAGACCACATGGAATTCCACCAAAAGCACTGAAAACAGACGCGGAGACAACAGCGAACACGCTCACACCAGTTACAGAAGGTTTGGATGGAAGGACATGCTTACACCACCACTGTAGAAGGTTCTGAAGGAAGGAAATGTATCTGCTCATTGATTGGAAGAAGGGCTATCTGGTCAAACCTCCGAAGAAGGGAGGCCTAAGCCTCTAAAAGAACTGGCGCACGATCACGCTCCATCCTTGTTCACCCAAAGCAAGCAAAATATTAGGCTGCATCATCCTGGAGAGACTAAAAGATGTGCTGGATTCGAAACTACGACCAGAATAGGCTTGATTCAGGAAGTATAAACCATCTGCGGACCAAATCACAACGCTACACTGTGCATCATCATGCAACAGAGAGTAGAATGGCAGTCAACTCTTCATCTTACCTCAACTTCATTGACTTTAGGAAGGCCTTGGACAACATCGACCGAGAAGTAATTTGGAAACTGCTTCAACACTACGGTTTCAGTGCCATAAACCTTTATCAATTTCATTCAACAGCTATATGTTAAATGATGCTACATGCCAAGTGATTCACAATGGAAATCTCAGTGATGCCTTCGAAGTGAAGACGGGAGTAAGATAAGGTGGTTGCCGCCTACTATCACCGATGATCTTCCTGAGTGTGGTCGACTGGATCATGCGGCAAACCCTGAGAAGCGAAATGGAAATACGCTGCACCGATGAAAAGAGCGTAGTAGATTTGGATTTCGTCGATGATTTATGTCTAGTGTCTTGTCGCACAAACTCGGAGATCTACAGGCAAGAACCAACAAGCTTATAGAAGAGCCAGGGCAGTGAGGATGCAACTTCAGGTGAACGTACAGAAGACAGAAGTGATGAAGATACCTAACCCTAACAACAACAATAACAACAAGCACCGATCACATCGACAGAAGAAAGTTAAAGGAAGTAGTCTCATTCATCTACCTAGGCAGCATCGTCCCAACTAAAGGGGGCACAGATAAGGATATGGAAGCCAGGTTAGGAAAAACAAGACAGGCCCTCATTTACCTGAAACTAGTGTGCAGATCTACTGCACTCAGCATACAGGTCAGTGCTTCCAAAAGGTCCAGACTTGGCGCGTTACGAAAAGCATTTCCAACAAACTACAGACATCCATCAACAACTGCCTACGCTCGTTACTGAAGCTCAGATGGCCAGAATAATGAGAATAAGCAAGAAGGAACTCTGGCTGGCTGGGAACGACCCAACCAAAAAGCCATCGCTCAACAAATAAGTAGTAGAAGGAAGTGGAGATAGATCGAGCATACACTGAGAAGGCCGACTGGTAACATCATGCACCAGGCCAGGCCGTCAAGTGGAACTCAAAAGGAAACAACGAGTTGGGTGTAGGGGGGTGACATGCAGGAGATGATGTGAGGAAGAAATGAAAGCTAGTGGTCAGTCGTAAAGCGAGGTAGAAAAGACTACAGAGAAGAGAGTGAAATGGAGACGTGCTACTGGAGCCCCACTTTCCAATAGGAACCCACGAGACAAATAATAATGAACATAGTTTGACTGAAAGTTCATTTTAATTGGTTTACTAGATGCATCACAAAGTGGACAACATTATTTACTGGATTAGGTTTCGGACACAATTTATTGTTAAGAGTCATATCAAGATAGCTCAACAACTTTGAGACATGGTTTATATAGTTCTAAATCTCTCGCCTTCTTTGTGATTATGGGCAATAGGATTTCCTACATATACGGAACAGGTGCTGAGTCATTCCTGTTGCATGTGTTTGGTGTTGATTCGACAAAAAATGAATCTTGAGGGAATTGTGGGGATTTGGAAATATTTCAAGTTGTTATTCATCGTAGACTGACATCAGTTGAAGGAATAAAGGGGACCTGGGAGCACTAGACAGTTGTTTCGTTCTAGTATGGGACCCCTCGGCAGTGCGCAGCCGCGACTCCGCCAGGGATCGAACCCGCGACCTTCAGGTCCCGTGGCCAGCACGTTAACATTGAGCCACTGGGCCAATGGTCCATATTTCCAACTTTGTCAGCTCATGATATAGCGCAACCGCCAACCAATGTCATCGTTGAGTAACTGTCCTCACGACCATCAGGCTTTGCCCCCACCCGTCAAGACTTCCTCATTGGAACTTCGGAATACTTCTCGAAGCTAGTCACTAATGCACACCAGTTCAACTGAATTTTGATGGCGATATCAGCAGTTCCTTCAATGTTATTCGTGAGATATTCCTGAATGCATTATAGAATCCTTAATCGCACAAAATCGTAAACCTGATTATTGTTACGTAGAAAAGTACTACTCTTGCTAAACCCAGAGTGGTTAAATCTTCACATAACCACTAGCTTTTATTTTCCTCTTCAGTTGTTAAGTGTCCGGCATATTTGAGTTGACTGGGTTACTTTCACACACAAAACGCAGTACTTTCTTCAGTTTCGTTTTAAACATTATCCACCAAACAAGTAGTTGAATGGAGGACGCACTTTACAGTGACTTTATTCTTAAGTTCAAGTAATATTGATTCATTTGAATAAGCACAGTACTTTTATTCTAGTAGAAAGGAGTGAAAAGAAGTTTATGAAATACGAATATAAAAAAAGAACTGTAAGCAGAGAATAATAACAATAAGATAAGAACACAAACTATTGTGGGAGACATCTGACGTAAAAGTAACAGATAATAAAGATGACCTTAGTTTGCTATCGAATCGAAATCCATCCAGTAACTTTGTGCACTTTTGTGTAGTAGGTTGCCCAAAGCTCATAAGGTGGAGATGTCTTTGAACCCAGAACCCATCGGCTGGAAATCAAGAGTTCAGACTAATGGGCCACAGTGTACATATTATTGGAAGGAGTGTAATAAACTGTTTTAATGGGCATAGCTCTGGTTTAAAATTACCATTTGCTACGGTCTTGGAGATGCATAGCAGGTGAAAGCATACATCTCCTTGAAGGTCCTTTTCGTTCTTGTAGGCTACATCAAGCGAAGAATGTGAGGCCTAATGGTTCAAATTAGGCTTATGTTGTAGAGTGACTGACTAATGTTGTTATTTGAGTAAAACAGCTTCCCAGAATATACTACCATAAAGATTACTTTTGTCTAATTGTACGGTTTTCTTGAAAATATTACCGTTGAAAAAAATACCAGAGCCCTTCTACATTCTTTTTCTTCTGTGAAAGAACCCAAACAACAAAACAAGTATCACTATAGCAAGCTAGTTACATGCACAAAAAGGAATCCGTTATATAAATCACTCGATAACTGAACAGGAAATAGATTGTTAACTTTAAAATGTCTTCCCGCATATTGTAATGGTCAAAGTCCTTGTCTTCAGAAAATGTTAAAAGAAAAGTAGCATTTTATGAACACATGAATCAGCAGTGATAAAAACTGAGATGCACTCAGCAACCTTGTGAACATTCGTGGAATAGGTAATGAGCCATACCTATTGTGTGAGGGCTGGTGATACTACCTTGGGCTGCCCAAACCCAGTAGGTGGGCTGGGCTCGGATCCATGACCCATTGGTCGAAAGTCATCCTCCTAAACCACTGAGCCACATCTCGATCAGTACTGGAAAACGGAATGCACTGTCATCTTCGAAAGCACCAATCAAAACAGTTTGGTTAATTGATAATTATTTAATTCAAAATACACAAAGAGACTAAGAAACAAACAATATGAAAATTACTGACCTGAAAGGTAGACGAGACCAATCGAATTAAACCAAGTGCAGCTATGACACCTGTAACTAAATTAGCTCTAGTTTGCATCTCAACAGGTTTTTGAGCTGAATGAAATATCTGCAAGCAATGCCAAAGAAAGAAGGTAAAAAAAATAGCTTCACAAACATAAAACTATGTGAAGAAAACGATCAGGTCGTTTATAAGGGTTATCAAAAACAGTTCTTCAACATAAGAAACTAGTTACTGAAGACTTCAGTAATGTGGTTGCAAACAGATACTGTCGGTAGAGTTGCACTTTTTGAACTGAACATATGCTTAGCTTACTATGTCACCATCATTCATTTGACGGTTTTCCATCAGTTATTCAGTATCAGCATGGGAGATCACATTACTAAGCAAACATGAGGACAAAATGAGAGTCAAAGAAGTGCTAATGTGATCAAAGGTCTTGGAAATTCTATCATGGGAAGAAAAGGCGGTTAAGGTAAAGAAAGAAATATTATGTAACGGTTATGGTAACGAAAAGGCTCACGTGCATCTAGGTCATACTACCCCCTTTCCAAACCAGGATATCAGTTGTCGCCCATGTGGACCCCAGTAGGAAAGTGTATACTTATCCACACGAATAAGACCAACGTTCAGAGACTGTATAAGCTGGTGCCAAGTTTAAGTTTGGTCATCGCCTTCAACTTATTTCCAATTTAATCTTACTTAAACCAACACTGTGCGACGAGGTTAACGGTGATTAAGCATGCGCACCACACAGTTAATAATTACATCACAACTACATGACAAACAAAAACAAAAAAGTTGGAGAGCAAAATAATCGTTTGAATGTAATAAAAAGCTAAGGGTAGAAGAACTAAGACACGATGCTAACCGAAGGACCACTTAACTGTAACGTTTGAGCCACTTAGAAATGCTTCGGCTCCTTAGCCGGAGTCTAGGTACCAACTAAAAACAGTAGTTTTAATCTTCAAGTAATATAGCTGCAAGAAACTAATCAATACATTTATCTTTCCTTTCATTTTTGATGAATTCTTATGTCTGCTGATATCATTATCTTTATTTCACTGTCTCTACTCGATATGGAGCGGCCTAAATCGAAAACAATATTCTATGTGATTAACAACCAAGTTAGAAATTTTGGACTTCAACTTTGTTTCATGCGTGGTCAGGAGAAACATTATTGGACAGTTTTGTCCTTCAACTGACCACTGAAAATAAATATCCAACTTCTGACCATACAGTTTTATATATTGGTGAAAACTACGTAGATGATGCATCTTTGTCAAATAGTCTCATTTACAGTCATAGGTCGGTCTTTGCCTTCGGACTTTTGCGGCTTAGTGAAGTATAAGGTCATGGTGGAGAATAGTAGCTACTTGTACCCATTCCAAGTGTCTCATTTCGTTAGAAGCGTCCCCGTATTTCGTATTATTCTGTCAGTCACTTCATTATTCTTTGTGATTTCCTTCTTGATACGGTTGTGGAAAATATGGCAATTTTGATTAACACGAAACTATGTAAGACCTTATGTGATTTACTTCTGTCGTCTATCGCTGAGAATATTAAGAAATACATATGAAACTATCGATACTACTTTAAACGTGACATACTTATTTGACCGATTATTTCCATACGTATGGATTGATCAGTATTTCACAAGTAGTACACACGAATATCACGAAATACACTGTAAGTACTGTTTGTCTAGAATTTGAGTCAGTAATCGATAAGGAGTATATGAAACAAGTTTGAATCGGATGATCCTATTAAAAATGAAAAGGTTATATGACTAAGTACGCGTATGTTTTAGTTGTATACCATCAACTGAATGATCCAATAAATAAACAGCTGTGTTGTCCGTAATCCAATCGGTTCATACGTTCCTATTCAACACACTTAAGTTCATATAGTTACTTGGCTAAGGTCTAACAGGTTCCAGTGAATATATACGATTTACAGCATTTGTTAAACATGACAACATGGACGAGATAATGTCCTATTACTTCACAGGGAGTTTAGATGATGGATATAACAAAAACGATGAGGAAAAGTGAAGCTTGTAACAATAGAAATAATCAAAGACATTCAAGACCATGTTATGTTTACAAGTATCTGTCAAAACAGAAATGAAGTTTTCTATAATTTATTATGTACACACATGATGATACTACTCACAGCATACATTTCTGAATACAATACAGCAAATACAGGCTGTATTCCACCAGTAATCGATGCAGCTATACACCCAAAAGTTAAACTTTTCCATTCTGGTCTAGATACTTTCAATAAACGAATCATAGACGAACCCTTCATAAAAAAGTATACAATAAACAATATATGTACTAAACAGAATATAAACAAGCACTTTTTCATTATTAAGAACACTCGAATGCACAATCACAATATCACATATACAATCGGGTCTAAGGAGTAGTGAATTTCTTGCAATCAGACTGTTAACGTTTTGTTTAAAAGATCAACATTTTCTAACTCTTGTCGGTCCATGATATACTACAACCTTTGATAGGAAGTGGTCCGAATCGAAATCAGTATTCTAAGCTATCAGATGCCAAGGTAGAAGTTTGGATATAACCTTGGTTTCATGTTACTGTGTGGGTGAAAAAGCCTTATTAAACATTTTTGCCCTTCAGCATACCAATGAAAATAAATATCCAACTTCTGATCTCGCAGTTTTATATACTGATGAAAACTGTACATAAATGATGCATTTTTGTCAAATAAAGAGTCTCCCTTACAGTCACAGGTCTGTCTTTATCCTCTGATTTTCACTGCTCAGTGAAGTATAAGGTTACAATGGAGAACAGTCACTGATCGTATCCAGTCCAACTATATCACTGCGTTAGTAGCGTTCTCGTATTGTTCTATCAATCACTTCCACTCGGTCACTTCAACCTTAATCACATGTTATCCACGAAAATCCATTCCCCAGTTTTGGACTAGTTGACTATACAGGTCCCAGTTTCACAGAAGCTGAGACGTCTTTACAGCCGGATTAAAGTCCAGTGGTTCGATGGCGGTGTATTCGCAACGAAATATGGTTGACTGCCCACAGATTGATACCAAATGGGGGCTGCGAAGAATATTTGAAAAAGTTGAGAACAGCCACTTACTACTTTCTGATTTCAAATGAGTTCTTCGTTGATATCAGTTCGCAGTAAAAAAGCATTTTCTAACTAACCAATTGTTCATCAATTATTTTCTTCCTAGCTTGTTTACAGAAAAGCTTTTACTAATAGATCTGTTAACCGAATAATAAACTTTTTAAAGATAATATGGTCAATAAAATTTCGAATTATTCAGCTTTCTCAAAGAAACTCTTTTACGAGTATTTATACTGTGTGATGATTAAAGGTGAAATGAAAATCTTGGTCACAGAGAGATTCGAACCAAAAGTAGATGGTCTGAGGTGGATTTTCCATACTTTTATTTATACACAAAATCATTTAAAGCTGTAGATGTTTCAGTAGACTGGGTAGTTACTTTTTTTTTAACGTCTGTTAACACTTGATACCTAAGGTGTTCAATGATTAGCTCTGTGTTAAAATCAATAAACCAACTTGAATAAAGTAGGTTTGTAGCCTAACCGACTGATTTAATTCCTTTATCTAAATATCTAACAGTAAACTACACAATACTCAAGTAGCTAAACAACAACCAATTCATGGCATCAAGACAACAAAGGCTACATACGCATAAGCCTACAGTAGAACAGATTTCACTACAAATCCGTAAGCTCCACTCATCAGAACACATTCGGATATCTCACCAACTAAATAAAGATATTTCATCACTCGATAACTTGACGAGAATTATGTCACCGTACAAATCAGCAAGCTGGCAAGCACGCTCAGTTATATATTTCTTTTCACATTAGTTTGTTTATTGGAAGCGTCACACAGAAAACACCAAATAAACAGATAAGAATGGACTTATAAACTAATCCAGTGGCCGAGTTTTGCTCTTACATTACATCTATGCATACCACTACAAACGGAATAAAATCAGTTATGAAGCAACAATTTACATTTTAGAAGCAAACAATAAACCCAAAATATTCTTATACCATCAATATAAAATCTCAAAAGAGTTCGACCTTAGCAACTATTTTCACTCAACAGGAGTATTTCTTCAGCCTACTCTATATCGACTAAAAGATCTCAAGCAGGAAATCAGTTTATAATACGTCAGAAGAAGCAATCATAATTATTACAAGCCCACGACACAACCAAATTATAAATGGAGTCATCAACCACTCTCGGTAGTCGTCTCACTGAATCCTCCACTTTAAGCTTTCAAATAACCACAAGTCAAGAGCTTCAGAACACATTCGCAACTGACAAACAGCAACTTGAACAACAGGCACTGCAACCAAAATTCTTGATCCATGAAGTCAAATGTCACCTTCGGGGTAACAAACAGAACTAGTTGAACACCAGTGCTCCTGTGTTTTAAGACCGAATAAAGGGTAAAAACTTGATGGTGGTCGCTGGTTCCATTCCGGCCGCGGTCCAGATTTTCATTTCACCTTCAATCGTCACTCATTATAAATACTAGTCTGCCAAACCGCAGCTATTTCAAATAGTCAAACGATAAAGACATGATAGGTGAATTTCACCAAGGTTTTCGACGTTTTTAATTTGCTTGCGAATACTGTTATTGAGAACACTTTGATGATGATTGAGAAAATTAAGGCCCTAATAGCCCTTTTTTGTTAGAATAAACTTCTGAAGTTATCATGAAGGGATAAACAGCTGTGACCGTAAACGAAATTAAGATTTTTTGTTTAAAACTCTACAGTAGTATTAGATCTTTCGAGAAAAAAGGTTGTTTAACCTATATCATAATTCATCATTTCTCAGTTTCCCAGTGTGTTTTAAAAATGGACTCAAGAAGCCATGACTACTAATATTTCAGCAAGAATGGTTGAATAAAACGTCCATAATTTCCTTGCGAACTTTAACGTATAGTAAAATACACGATAACTCTTGCCATACAAGATAATTTTCAGCAGGTTCATAACCCTGTCAACTTATTTTCCAGTTGAAGAGCTTTACAACTTAACAACATTAACATTCACGTGGTGATAACAAAATATATAAAGCTAGAACGGCAACACCGGATCCATTATCTTTCTAGGAGTATTACCATCATTACTTCGATGTTACGATATAGAATTGTCGGATAAGTTCTTTTCGGTATAAACTCCTGTTGGAAATGTGTTACTTAAAAGTTAGTCAATAGTTTAATTAGATAAGGGAGCTAAAATGCAATAGAAGATAATGGATGATGATTGAAGGTTAAATGAAAATTTGGATAGAGGCAGGATTCGAACCAGCGACCGCCGGGGTTACGGCCCGGTGCTGTACCAACTGAGTTACTAGACCCGACTACTGACCAGATTTTTATTTCACTTCAACCACCAAGGGTTTTTACTCGAGCACCATGTGAATTCGTGACGCGCTAATACCGCTCGATCATATTCACACTGACTGCCCAGTCAGGACTTCTCATCCAAATCCAAATCTAACTGAATTAGAGAGGGGGAAAATCATATTGATTATCATCTTGACTATCTAAGATAGACTTTGCTTGCCAGACTTGTATTGATACTGAGCGATGATTGAAGGGAAGATGAAAATTTGGACCGCGGTGGGATTCGAACCAGAGACCATCGGGTTACCTTCAATCACCACCCAGTATCAATACAAGTCTGCCAAACCACAACTACCTCAGATAATCAAGATGATAATAAAGATAAGTGAGGAAAGTAGCTAGCTGAAAATCAAATCAAATACCAACACAATTTCATGGTCTTAATATAACAAAACTATCTTTTGGTTATTTAATTACGAAATATACAGACAGTAGTGAGAAAAAACGATCCAATGAGTAAACTGAACTCACAACATCTCGAGTCAGACTGAAATTACCTAACTACCAATGCAATTCATAAGAACTTGAAGGCGAAAAAAAATTAACACACACTGGGTTTGCATTCAAAGGAATTAGGTTGCAAATAAAAATGCATTTAAGAGTTGGTAGTGTTTAAAGGTTAAAAGAATCGTGGGGAATATTTTAAGTTAGCAGGAATAATCATAACGGTGTTGCTTACTATGCCTTAGATGGTTTAACCGTAAAGCTTTTATTATCCTTCTAGATAAAATCATCAATACTAGATTCATTCTGTAGGTAGCTATCACGATTAATAAGAAAAACTATCTTTTTAGCCGAAACTAATAAATTTAATTGGTTATTTCAGTAGTTACTGGGTTGGTCTTTAGAGACATTGTATACAACAGTGTCCAATAATTACTTAAGTGAACAGATTTTACGAAGCTGCTGGTAATCAATAAATGTAAATTAGAAACTCAGCAGTAGTAATCAAAATGTATGTACAAACAGAGAGATCGGAGTTTATACAAACAGGAATTGTGGTTTAAGAAACGAACTTTTATGAAACACTTTAAACTTACCAAACCAGTCTTTATGCGAACATCAGTTGAACCAGACATATTCAGTGTAACCTCGTCCTGTTTAAGGAATTTTATGTAGACAAATCAAATGGATCAGTAATATTTATAAGTCAAATCAATGAAAAGGCAAGTCAGTAATTGCGTACATTCTCTTGTACTAGACTGTAAGCAGCATACAGTACAAGGGTTATTAATACCACTTGATCAGATTCTTGTTAAGAATTGAACAAACTGGAGTGGTTTCAAGTCAAGTCATCTATCAGCAGCCTCAAGGTTGCAATGCATATGACAATTCCGAGGTATTTCTGATGATATATAGTTTTGAAATTAATCCATCAGAGCATTTAAGCGTAGAACTAAGTAAACAAAAAAAGGTGGTTATACTACCCAAGACTGGTTGATTAACAACAGCACAGTCAAACACCACTCCTAATGGATACTGTGGAGTTAATATGAATGTGTAGGTTGGTTACACAAAATTAAGTTTACATCGAAGTAGTGCCCCGAATTTTAGTACAGAGCTTCGACTTACACCCATTATAGACGATTAGAAAAATTCGAATAGTAGGACCACTAAGTATTTATCGCTATGTTTAGCAAAACAGTTCGAGGTAGGACAGAAGAACTACCTGCGAATAACTTCAGTTTTACTAGTTTTTAGGATTTAGATACACGTTGGGTAGTGCAAACAGCGAGTGATAATGAGGTAAAGTAGATTGACAGAAACCATTAAACCATGAAATAAAGACAAAAGTGAGCTAACTGGATGGCTAAACATAAGAAGGAGAACATAGACTAGTATTTAAAGCCGATAGAGTGACGTTAATCAATTTCGATCCACGAAGCTAAATTACAATCCCTTTTCATGTCATTTAAGCAAGGTCTAGCGCTGATCCTTACCATTCTCTGTTTATTCTACTGATTCACGTTTAACATTCGCAGTGTTGTATATCACTGTAATACTTAAAAGTAAAGTAACTTGGAGAAACGCACATTGTTACATCAACGTTAAACAGTTAGTCACTCACAAATGAAAAATAGAAGAATAACTGTACACAAAGACAATTAATATGAAGTAATCAAAAGGAAACAATGAATAGAACTTGTATAATTGGTACTGCAAAGAAATAAATTTATTTTTCAGTCCAATAATGCTAAAACTTATCAACAAACAACAATATTGCAGTGACCAATAGGAATGAATCTAAAATTTTTTGATAACAAAAGAGTCCACATCTAAAATAACTCACTTTATTGACTTCGTATTCAGTTTCATTCCCCTTCAAATGGATATCAATTTTCGTCTTGTTCTGTATATGATCTAGATCTGATGCTACATTCTCAGTAAAGAATTTATTATTGTCAGCTGTCTGCAAAATTGACCCATTTTCACTGATAAATGGAGTGTTAGTTTCAGGAATCTATCCGAATGCAAATAAACAGAAAAAATATACACAAGAATGAATACTTTCATTAAATCCTCTCCATCTTATGAAACATAGGAGTAGATTTTTAAGAAGAGAAATTCATCTTTGAAAATGTTAGCCCTTTATGATGAAACTCGATGTATAAAATGCAATGGTTGTAAAACATATATGGTACTTCGTGTAGCCATCTCACATAATACAACTAATGAAAGACAGGAAAGAGATAGGTGAAGCTGCTATAATGACGTGTATCAAAAGTAAGTATGTACAACAGCGTGTATGGTGTACAATAAAGCCCTATATGCTCAAACAACTATTATGCATCAATGAAATTGACAATGGAAAGTTAACTGGACTAGAAATCATCGCTTATAGATGGGCGACAGATGCGAAAAAACAATTAGAAGCTAGGAGATGTATGTACAGAAACCCAAGGTAGGTTTGACATTTGGTGACGTTTCAACGCTTATAGTATTGCTCATGTTTAGTAGAATCACCGTATGAGTATTGTTGAGGTCAGGCGTAAAATACTAGGCAAGAGAGCCAAGTCGGTCGACGAGTTTGTGAACCCCATTTGACTGAGACGGCTTCGGCACGTACTGCTCTTGCGAAGCCACCGCCTACTTCGATGTGCCATGCTAAGGGAAGTTAGATTATGTTGGAAGAGGGTTCAAGCTAGTCAGAGAAAGTCCCTGATGATTGAAATGAGTCTTGTGGAGAGATGTAGACTGTTTGGTTGGGGTTCCCAAGATGACAGGAATCGGTGGTTGAGGACTCTTCGAGACATGGCTAAAAATAGATAACAATGGTGCAGATGTATTCACTCCTTGATATCTTCTAAAGTTTGAATATTTGCACTATCCGCAATCTTCAGATTGTTTATTCTCTCACACAACTTTATCTACTTTCATTACACCCTTTTTATCCATGTGTTCTTTGTATAGTACTATGAAGTGTAGCAACTCGAGCCGATGGACTTGTGTGTGAGGTTGAATTTGTTAGTATGTCAGAGTAAACGTTCGGTCTCATCAACACGAATGCGAAATTTTATTCACACACTATGTTAATAACACCAAAAGATTGTTTTCTATGTGGCATCTACACCGTATTCCAGAAATGTTATAAGTTTATATTGGAGAAGGCCAATGTCAACCAATCAGATAATAGAATATGCAACACGCAGAATATTACAGTAAATCAACTCTAAATCCCTCACTTCGTATTCTCTATAAGATCTGAAGAGACCTTCATAAAGTTGTCTACCCCTGTTACATACTTAAAAATCCCTGCGAAGTGGGTAATACACCCAGAAAAATTACAGTTTCTAGTCATAACTATAGTTGGAGATTCCAAAATTTAATCCTGTTTCATAATCCTTGTTTTGACAACGTTCAATTAGTAAGATGTTGACTAAAAATATTACGCTTTTTGAATGACTAAGTATTATTCTAGCTTTATAAACCTTATCTACAGATTTTTATATTTCCATCATACTGAAAAATCATATTAACGACTAGACGGCCGTAGCTCTGGAACATTTTCTGACACATACACGAAACGACCCCGTAATAAAATAGAGTAATTATAAGATCGACTTTATTACCTAGAAAAAAGTTGTTGAAAAGAATTTCCTTTACTGAACTACCTACCCCATGACTGACATATACGTCAGGCAAAAATGAAAAAAGAAACGTCTATCCATATTACCGCAATCGCTTTTTTGAATAATACTACACATTAGTTTGTGGGTTACCAAAAGTCTCATAAGATCCTAAAAGCGTAAATAATAAGTACACAAAAAAGTTACGATACGTCATATGTGAAGCGGGAAATTAACACCGAACTTAGCTACATGAAAAAAGTCGGGTTAAAATACTTATTTAGAAAATAAAATTTCAGTTAACTTGTAATTACTTTCAATTCTGGCTACCCAAAATACAGAATAGATGAAAAAAGCTATATGGGCATAAGTAAAACATAATAAGGGCTGCAGAATGGTTTGTCGGTTTCAAATCAAAAGTCGGATATAACGATTAGAAGTAACCACCCAATTACACCGCTTTGATACATGTTATAAGACATACAACGTACTTGAGCATTCAAGTATTATTAACCTGGTAAAATAGTTCGCGTGAGGTAGAACATCTACATGAGTGACTCGAATGCTGGCAAACAGTCATTTATTCTAACTGAAGCAGGATTAGGCTCAATTATCAAGACTGCCCAAATCTAAGGTTTCAGATATTACTGATGTGATTCAAGACCAATCAAAGTAAAGTAGGTACACTAATGTATAATCTCGAAAGAAATTTTAACATTTATTCTTCATTGTATTACTCTTATATTACATCTATGCATACCACTACAAACGGAATAAAATCAGTTATGAAGCAACAATTTACATTTTAGAAGCAAACAATAAACCCAAAATATTCTTATACCATCAATATAAAATCTCAAAAGAGTTCGACCTTAGCAACTATTTTCACTCAACAGGAGTATTTCTTCAGCCTACTCTATATCGACTAAAAGATCTCAAGCAGGAAATCAGTTTATAATACGTCAGAAGAAGCAATCATAATTATTACAAGCCCACGACACAACCAAATTATAAATGGAGTCATCAACCACTCTCGGTAGTCGTCTCACTGAATCCTCCACTTTAAGCTTTCAAATAACCACAAGTCAAGAGCTTCAGAACACATTCGCAACTGACAAACAGCAACTTGAACAACAGGCACTGCAACCAAAATTCTTGATCCATGAAGTCAAATGTCACCTTCGGGTAACAAACAGAACTAGTTGAACACCAGTGCTCCTGTGTTTTAAGACCGAATAAAGGGTAAAAACTTGATGGTGGTCGCTGGTTCCATTCCGGCCGCGGTCCAGATTTTCATTTCACCTTCAATCGTCACTCATTATAAATACTAGTCTGCCAAACCGCAGCTATTTCAAATAGTCAAACGATAAAGACATGATAGGTGAATTTCACCAAGGTTTTCGACGTTTTTAATTTGCTTGCGAATACTGTTATTGAGAACACTTTGATGATGATTGAGAAAATTAAGGCCCTAATAGTCCTTTTTTGTTAAGATGAAACTTCTGAAGTTATCATGAAGGGATAAACAGCTGTGACCGTAAACGAAATTAAATTTTTTTTGTTTAAAACCCTACAGTAGCAGTAGGTCACTACTGGAGAGGTGTAACGATGAGTCATGTAAAGGGGATCCATGACCAGATGGTAACCGATGAAAGTGACATCAAGGTGGCCTGCTTAAATTTTAGGCTACGAAAAATATTTCAGAAAGTATTTATCATTAAATTGCTCCTTTTTATTTATTTTAACTTTTCAAATATCAACTAATCGTAAAACTCACTCGGGGTCGTCATAAAATGTCTTCAACCTATCGTCAGATGGGGTTGACGACAGGAATACGAGAAATTATCACAGTGACGGCAGTCGGCTCCTGAACGCACAACAGCTTATCATATAGGAATTGTAGGACTACGTAGCTGGAGAAGCCAATTTTTATACTAAATGAATGAACCTATAACGCAAAACTTACATGTGTTTTTCTATCCGACCCACGTGCAACAAAATACAAACTAGGTGATGACCTAAAAACGACTGGTCGTTGTGCATTACTGCCTATCATACTGTTATTATTAACATTATTTAACTGCCATGCCTTTTTAAATTTGGAAATATTGTGCAAGAAGTAAGTATATTGAAGTATCACAATGAGAATTCCAAACTGTACCAAAAGTTATTGTCTGAAATAAAGTGATTATAATTAGTAGTAGTAACCGTGAAGTTTAAACAGCTCAGTACTCTGCAAAGCTCCTTGATCAAGTTGGTAATTCGTGCACTAATCTAAATGACGAAACACTATTAAGCCCTGTGTTTGGCTTCAGGTGCTGAAATTCACTCACCAGGAAGGTCTGCACCAGGACTATTAGTCAGTTAACCGAACATATATGAATGGTCAAACAGAAAAAAATTAGCTTACCTCAAGTTTCAACATAGCTGAATAAAATCCAGAAATTGTTGAAAGTTCTGTGTGTGTACCTGTTTGTATGATGTAACCATCCTTTAAAGCTACAATTTTATCCGCATTTCGAATAGTCGACAAACGATGAGCAATGATGATCACTGTACGATTAATTTTTATATCTTCTAAAGCTGATTGAATCATTTTTTCAGAATGATTATCTAATGCTGAAGTGGCTTCATCTAAAATAAGAATTTTCGGTCTACGAATAAGTGCACGTGCAATAGAAATGCGTTGTTTTTGACCAACAGATAATTCTACACCCACATGAGATACCATTGTATTGTAACCCTGAAAAAATGCAGATACAGAAAAAAACTATCAATATTCAACTAGTCTTTCTCGACCTAAACCAAAATGTTTTGCCAAGCAAATAAATTAGTCACACTCATGCAAAAAATTTCTATGAAGAAAGAAGAAATTGTATGTATGTCACCATTACCAGCATAGATAAGAACAGCGGAAAAATAAGAATTTCAAGTTTTTCACTAGTAAAGTGAAAAAGTTAGTCCACGAAGGTTAGATAAATAATGTTATGAATAAAAAAGCAGAGAGAAAAACAATTCATACTAATGGTCCTCAATCCACAAACAATGATAGAATGTGACTGGCGTTGATAAACGGATCGTATATACCATAACTAAGCGACACCAAAAATTGGCATTTTATAACCCAGAACGTTATTCTAGGTACCATATATTAACGTCCTCTGACCGCATAGAATTATGTCAGCTTTTATGTCGACTCACCAGAGCTTCAATCTTAATAACAAACTTATATATATAGAAATAATGAAATGGAACTGCATTGTCTACGGATTTATTCAGTGAACTTGAAAGTAATGAATCAATTCTCGAAAATCTGGAAGTGGAAATAACATGTCGACAGTTTAGAGAATGGTAGAAAGGGCATGTAACGCTGGTGAGTAAACTTAGTAGCTATCAGATAAGATGATCATTTCTCAAACACTTCTAAGAAATTGAATAATTTCGAACAAAGAGAAGAAAAGTGGCCTGCTCTTTGGCATTCTCAGAAGTGATACATGCTGACACAAAATGTTTCGATTGACAAATTTTTTCAGTAATTTACAGAATATACTTAGTTTGTTATGTAGGAGAGCATTCTTGATTCAAAAAATATGGAGCAGAGTGAGTATGGGAATGATGTACTATCGATTACGCATATATCAGCCTAGTTATCTCGTTCATGAACTACATTCAAACAAAAAACAATTATCGACTCCGTAACTAAGAATTTATTTAAGCTATTGTAATACCCTTGCACCTATTTAAACATAGTTTCCCCTCTTAAATACATGCTGGAATGATCACCGGCTGAGAGCATTATGAAATTTTGCCAGGTTCCCATTTTTTGATCTAGTAATTATTAACTCATTGATATCATAGAGGAATAAAAATGATTCGGAAACATTTGCTAGCTTATCTGAAAATTTTTTTCCATTGTACTGATAACATTTGGAACTAAAAGAGAGCGGTTATTGAAATATAGCACGGTGTAACTTTCCTTTGATAAAAAGTTGATGTTATGGCGGATTTCACAGTTAACGAAGCGGTTAACAGGTTTTCAGAACCATTAAACACATAATCATCGAATTGTCGTAATTCATAAACATACCAAACAATTTGGACAACGTAATTAAAAACGTGGATTATCTGAAAAATGTGATGTATCTGCGCTATACTTCAAAATAGATCCGATGTAATCATACTTAAACCCGTGAAAAAGATATGTGTGGTCGTGATGAACAAATGTGACTACAAAAACAACATGATGTCCATCCTTAGCAAGGAAAGTAACTTATGCCTAACGTTTCATCGGACGACCTTAGGAAATTAGAATGCAAAATAACATATAGTCAAGTAAAACTCTTCAATATCAATGTTATCAGCAAGGAAGAACTCACTTCCGTCAAACCTATGGGGTTTGAGCTACCTAATCTATGTGTATTGCCTAAAATTCATAAAACTAACAATTCTTTACGTCCTATACTGTCCATGTTCGTTCACCTACACATAAATCGGCGAAATGGTTAGCGAAAACTTTAATTCCTATACGAAATGAATTATGTAAATTTTCTTTGAAAGATACTTTTGAACTCGTTGACTATCTCAGTGATATTAATATCAAAGATAAGAGGTTGTATTCATTTGATGTCAACACCTAATTTACTAACGTGCCCCTAATAAGAAACATTGACTTTCTTTGTGATCATATATCTTTCAGTAATTATTCTTCTCCTATCTCTTCAAGGTGTTTGAAAGAGCTGTTGTTATTGTTTGTTGATAAATTTCATTTCACACTTGAAGGAGAACAAATAGCTTGTGTGGCCATGGGGAGTCCTCTAGTACCATGCTAGCTGATATTTACGTGTCATATATTGAAGGCCTGACCGTTGATTTCATCAGTAAAGTTACTGTCTGTAGGAGATACGTTGATGATAAAAGAGTGATGTGACAAGCATGAAGATGTGAAATATCTGTTAGAAAGACCTAACACCGCACCAAAAACATAAGCTTAACCTGTAGAGAAGAGAAAGACATCTGTTTACAGTTCTTGGATATACTCCTAAGTAGTAGAAATGATGGTTCAATAAAACGGTCAATTTACAGAAAACCCTATGGACAGGTCAGTACTTAAGCTTCTGTAGCTTTTATCCAACTCAATACAGGTGAGGTTTGGTAACTTTCTTATTAAAAAAGGCCCAAAGTATTTGTACAGAAGACTCAATGGATGATGACACGAAAATACTAACTGAAACATTAGTGTGAAATGGATACCATTGAAATTCGCAAACCGCTGCAACAATCAGCCAGCATTGAAACCAAGTCTGTACTCTGTTTCGAAGAAATACGTTTATAATACGTTACCATACAGAGAAGAATTTAACAATACAATATAATATTAAAACGAAGGTTAAGGTCTGCTGTTATCAAAACATACTATGCAGCTAAGCTTATCGTAGTTGAGAAGACAAAACACCTGTTGCAGCATATACCTCAATGCTGTACAAACGATTGCATCACATCCCACTGTGCTGATAAATCTACATGCGTGTATGGACAAACACACACGGTGGGGACCAGTAGTGATATGCACCTGAGAGTAGGGGAACATGTACCAAAACGGTTACAAAAGCAGCTGGATTCGCAAACATCGATAAGTGCAGATGGCAGAAAACTATCATCATCTATTCCAAAGCATACCATTGATAAAAGTCACAGGACCGATATTAAAACAGCCTTTAAAATTTTGTACAGAATTTGGCTAGGGTGTATATTTAGGTCCGTTGAAGCACTTTCCATAAACAAATCTAACCATTGTGCAAAAACAGTTTGGCCTGGTAGTGCTTATTTTTCATCGTAATATCAAGGTTGTCTTTTAATCTTATCTTCTTTATTATTGAATTTTTTTAAATTATATTCGTTCTTCCTTCAATTTCAGTTTTCATGTATGCCTTAACACGTAAATGTATGATCAGATTGTTCGAAATGTATAGGGCAAATACACATCTTTCAGATAATCTACGTCTTCTAGTTACGTTATCCGAATTCATAAAAGGGACTAGTTGTTTCAAATGTCAAACAATCCCAAATCCTCTTTTTGATAAACATAACGCATATCACACATATTACGATTCCGCATTAAACTATTCGGGCATTTGAACTCGACAAAAGTATTGTGGAGTTGTGGCTGTTTGCTTTAAGGAGTTGACTTTCAACCAGTGGGTCATGGGTTTTAAAACAGCTCCACTTACCGTAGTATAGGTAACCCAAAAAAATGATAGTTGTGGCTCCTCGCCTACTGCACGAATGAGCATAAGGCTGCTGAGTGGATTTGGATTCGATTTGAGACAAAAGTATCAAGTAAGTGTGGGGCAGAATGAACTAATAGAATGTACAGTTGAGTAAAGATTTCTGAAGAGATATATTGGAGAACTTCTGAAGTAAATACTCAATAAAACTGCTAGTAATTCCAGGTTCTATGTTGAAAATGACTGTCTGTAAATTCAAAAAAACTACTCTACTAATGTTTAACAAAAATGTACAAGCGTTATTACTGATTGTTGAGCGTTACTCTTGTCCTACTATGATAGAATGCCCTAAAGAAGTAACTTTCTTTCCTTTAATCGCGAAACGTTATTAAATGAATATTTAAATGATCTGAAAACAGATGAATGAAGAATGAATTCTGATAGCAATAAATTTAAAGTTGACTACAACCGTTTTGCGTATGATGACAATTCTTATTATTAAGAACATGTTACACATCAAATAATAGCCGATCAAAACAACTAAGAATCTACAAACTAAATAGGCCAGTCTTTCATTTTTATGTAGTAGTAATTACTGATAAAGCGAAGCAATCAGATTATAAGCCCTTACTTAGCATTTCTATACCATGCTAGAAAACGCCTTCAGTCTCAAAAGAGTAGCAGATACGAACTGGAGAAAATCTATTAGCATTAACTTGGCTAAACTTTTAGTTTAGTGAACACTAACAACATGAGATTAAAAGATGAAAAAACATGAAAAAAAGTATGCAGTATGTATTTATGAAGATGAACTTGGTTAGAAACATCAATCAACTGTTATTTCCCAGGGTGTCGATCTTGATGCATCACACAACTTAGTGTTAATATTTAGCTACAGATTTTCATAGGTATATTATCATTACTCTTCTCAAATTCGTGAAACGTATCACCCAGTCTGCGCAAAATGTTGTGATGAAAATCCATTCCGGAAATAACAAGCTGAAGTTATGATCAGTAGCAGTATGGCATCAAGAACAAGAAAACAAAATCGCAGACAATTACAGAGCAGATATCAAAACGAAATATGACATAAAACTGGAAATCGTTAAATATTGGTTACCTTAGGCAACTTTATTATGAATTCATGAGCATTGGCTAATTTTGCTGCCTCCACAATATCATCATCGCATACAGCATCTTTTAGGTAACCCATACGTATATTATCTGATATTGTTCCTGAGAATAAAACCGGTTCTTGCTGAACGACGCCTATAAGTGAACGAAGCCAGTTGATATCCAATGAACAGATATCTGTGTCATCAAAAAGTATCTACAGGCAATGAACAAAAACAATGAAATGCTGATTTATTACTCTACTTTTAACCGCAAAATATTTGTATAACTGAATAAAGTATTTAAAAACTTCACAAAACCGAATGATGATGAAACAACCAAGCGGATATCGCTGGTCAGCTAGGAGTGGTGTATAACTTTGTAAGTCAGTCAGCAATATATATGTAGAAAATATTTGTGTATTCTTAAAGATTAAACTAACGATGGGTTATTCCCTACAGTTTATTCATATAATGCCCCATTCAAGTTAAAATTGTTGCATCAGTTTACATAATAGGCTTTTCCAACCATATGCATATGTATCAATGCGATCGATTACGAGATACAATAAATTGAAGTCCTTAACCATCAATTTAGCTCGTTTCGTGAACACTTATGAGGAAGCCTACATTGCCCTACAGGTATTAACATCGTGCAACTCAACTTTTTTCAAGGTAGCACGTGCCCTGACTAGCTCAGTCGATAAAGGTTCATAACCCCATCAAATGATTTGGCTACCCAAGATGGAAGGATATAAAGTGGCGAAAAATTGTGAAAAGAGAACAGTATGATGATTAGAATTCAGATTATATCTGGATATATCTGCACCACTGATATCTATTCTCAGTTATATCACTATATTTCCAATGAACAATTTCGCTTGTCAAACGGAAAGTTTACATTTCCTTACACGACTCGGACCGATAGTCGGAAACTTCACGGACATATGCCACTTTGGGGTTTGACCATCTCTAACATTTTTCTAGCTTGGACCTACTTTAGGTAACTTGTTGTATGTAACTGGGCAGACGGCGATGAGACATGCAAAATACATGTTCAAGCCACCTAAGTCGATGGAGGTTTGCAACATTAACAACGAACTTTTATCTTATAAATAAGACTGCATAACTTCTACTTTACTGACATGGTAGTTCCAAGACACAGGTCCTTTTCTAATCATACAAGCAATCATAGTCACGGTACTAATAATTGACTATAGTGGCAAATTTTTCTACCTTGCAATACATTTTTCTGATTCACTTATTATAAGCGTAAAACATAACGCGTTATATTTGATACAACATTTGTCCATCCTACCATGCAAATACTGGCAAACCCAGTAGCAACAAATCAGAACAAAATGACCTCTAAAGATAATGCAGTAAATTTAACAAAATTTTGTGGAACTCAATGAAAGAAAACCCACAAAAATAAGAAAAAAAGTTATTAGGACCTTACGACAGTCAGTTCGAAAGGAAAAATAATGTGAAGACTTTATCACATCAAATATATCATTACCTGTCCACTGTCAGGATTGTAAAACCGTTCAATAAGCTGAGTTATTGTAGTCTTTCCACAACCGCTAGGACCAATAAAAGCGGTTGTTTGTTTTGACTCTAAGGTCAGGTTAAGATTTTTTAGTACCTGTAACAATAATTTTTAAAAAAAACAGTCCCTTTTAAAACGTCAACTATGAAATATATGAGGGTTAGTAATTCTCAACTCGAATATGCTAACCTTATTCGTCAACTTTAGAAAAAAAGAAGTTTAACAAACATCCAATCACGGTATGCTCAGAAATGCAGGAATTAAAAGTAACAAATGTAGCAGAATTACAAATGGGTTTAGAAAGCTTGCGTGCACATAAGCAAACAAATAAATTCTAAGTGAACAATACACAGGAACTTGTCAGGAATGAAACGCTGACTAAGTGCAACATAGATGGCTATAGGGATTATTTCAAAAACACAAAATGAGTTCAAAACTATTGAGATACACTCTGCATCAAATGATGCACAATGCCAACTAGATATAAAATATCCTTTTACAGACCACATATTTCGCATAGACACGGTGAGAAAAATAGCTTTCTAGTCATTTAGTATGGTAACGTCATCCAGTGGTTAAGAAAGTAGACCATCAAATAGTTTACCATGAGTTAGGGTCATATCTGCATGCAGAGATTTAGCGTTCGGGTAGTAGCATTAACCTTCATACAATAAAATCTGACGTTTTGACTAGCCCATAGGCATGAAAATGCTAGATGAGTCATTTTTTTTGACATTTCTGGTGTCAGGAAAGATGAAATAACTCAATATGTTGAAATGCAATTTCTGCAACTTAAATCCGAAAAAAATAAGTGTTTTTAAAAATACATCATGATAATAGTTTGAATGGACAGAAAAACATAACAAGTCAGTGTTTTCCCTGTAAGATGTGGACTAAATGTTCATATCACAGATAATTAAAGGTTGCATCGCTGGCACTTTTTTGCTCCGAGAAGACAGCTTTTCTTCATTAAACTCAGAATTTAATGGCCCAGTAAAGCAGCTATATTTCCAGTTGATCTTTGCTTTTCTCTGGAGGAATATTTCTTGCCTACTCAGTCTCGTCTTCTGTGTCTTCTCAGCAGTACGGGGACAGCATTTCAGTGATCAGTATCCACTATCCTATGGCGAAGTGTTGTGAGCGCAAAACGACAGCTTCTAAACTCGAAACCTGTCATCTAGGAGGATTCTTTGGTCACCTCAAGAATAATACTGCAGCTCAGGGGCGAATTTGAAGTTTATGTAATAGTTAGTCACCTATACAATACCATGATATTACCTGGTTATATGAAGTTAGGCAGGCAGAGTAGGACTTAATGGTTGAAAGTAAGGTATCCAATCACAGGGATCATACATTTACAAAGTTTGATAGCATCTTATTATGATTTGAATGATTTACAAAATGTGGATATTCCAAAAGTGTCTCATAACTTCAACGTTTACTTTTACACATGAACAGTCAAAGTATAAGCAACTATTAGTAGTACATATTAACTTTCTATTTCATCTTAGTCGTTTCAACAGTAAAATAGGTAAATTAGTATCGAATTGGATATGTCTGTCTCGCAGAATTAAATTAATGCAACCTATCGTCCAAAATAAAACATGGATATTTAACACATTCGCCTTTTTACACATAGGGACAGTCTCATTGAAACTGTATATAATCATAATCGTTATTATGGGTTGAAAAATATTCACATATCTTCATTAGATAACTAAATTTACATGTGTAAGGCATAGAAAGTTAAATTTTTCAATCAAAACTTCACCGTATACACGTAAGATAAGTCAAAAGATCAAATGCCGAAACACTTTAGTAAGTGTATGCTATGTACGATTTTTTTCAAGACAGAACTTCTACACAACAGGCTAAAACTGCAGCGACATATGCTGTAAGACAACGAACGTAGTAACATGACACTACTTCAATCAATCAGTGGCTTACACTACGAACACAGGCATGACTTGAATGTGGAACTAATCTTTCCTTTATCTACTGATGAGTTTATCGACAATATATCTGGATATATTCACTACAAAATTGAATGCTTCATCAACATGAACGTATGGGAGTTTAAAAGCCATCGTGGTGAATACTGAAGTAACCAATCAGGTTTCTTCCTTTCACAAAAACCTACGTTCACAGCCAAAATGAAGAAAACCAACTGGTCCTTTCAGTGGTTAATAGAGTGCCCTTTAAAGTAACTGAAATGTTTACGATAAGGAAAAGTTACTATGATTTTGAAAAAGCTAACACCCTTGGCATAACACTTAAGAAAGTTGAAATGACTTCTTTCTGACTAGTTCAAAAAGACAAAGTCAACGTAGAACCACGCACACGAATGCATTCGTTTAAGTTGCTACACTTTACAGTAGAATACAAAGAACAAGTGGATAAAATACAACAATCAAAATAGAAAAATGTGTATGGGAGGAGAGAGGGGTTAAAAAAGAAGGTTAGTCAAAGCATTCAAGCTTGAGAAAAAATTAGAGTAAATACCTCTATGCAATTGTGAACGACTTTCAACCATTTCGTCAAGAGTTCTCAATCAGTTTCTGATCGTCTCAAAGACCCCATCCAGGTATTACATTCCTCTCTACACGGCTCAGACTAACAGTCAGATACTTCAAGCTCTAATCTCACGTCTTGTTTTGGCCATCATGAACCATCTTCCAACCTAATTCAGCTTCCCCTAGAATGCCACATCAAGGTAGGCAGTGGATAGGCATGGGCAAAACATGTCCGAGACACCTCAGTCACTGGAAGTTCACAACCTCATCGACAGACCTGCCTGTCTTAACAGTCACTCTTCACCAAACCTCAACATTACTCATCCGGTGATTCCATCACACGCGAGTAATGCTACGGAGACACCTGTGGTCATAAACCTGTAACCACTTCATTTCTTCAAATTTCAACGGCCATGTCTCATAGCCCTGCAACAGGACAGAACGGATTTCAGCGCAGCATACCTGTCCTTCAACGGGTAGTCAGATATCTTGGTGGTGCCAGAGATGATGCAGGCTGGTAGATGTAAAATTGGTCTTTTGTATCTGAGTGGAGATTTTTTCACGAACAAGCCCATTTGAGCTGATGCAACTTCCCAAGTGGATTGGTCAATACATAAAACCATGTAACTTCAGATCTTTAAAATAGGAGCAGTTGTAGACCAGTCTTTAAACAACATTTTACATTTCATAGGTGCAAAACGCATGCCAAACATACTCAGATTTTTCCGCAAGGTGTTAAGAATACCCTGCACTTTCTCGGCGAGGTTACTTAGCAAGATATTGCCATCTGCGTACTCTAGGGAGTAGATCACACCCTAATAAGCCAAACATACCTAATGTTATGTCCAATAATACATTAATAACAAAATTAAATAGAAACGGTGACAGTGGGCATCACTGAAGTAGATCACTAGTTGCCACCAGTTCAGATAAAAACCCTTGATGAGCCTTTATACGTCTATGTGAGTTAGAGTAGCGAGCTTTGATTACTGTTACATGCTCATTTGGTACTACCTTTCCAATCAGGCGCCGTTACGACACCTCGGTTTGACAGAATCGAATGCCCCCTTCAGGTCAAGAAATATGTCAAGTGTCAATCACCAGTAAGAATGCCTGCTTTAAAACCTGTTAAATAGTGAAGATTTGATCGATTCAACCTACCTGATTTTCTCGAGCTCCACTTAGACATCTGATTACTAAGGACCCAAAGATTTTGAACACTAATTGATTTACAACATTTGACACCAAAATACAGTGCACAGCAAGGTATCATCACTTCAATTGGTGGCCACAATGATAAATCAGATCTACAGACCGCGTTCAGTGCTAAGCGGTAAAGGCTAGAGAGATACATCATATATATTTATATATTACAAAAGAGAAACCGCAACGAGTTCACTATTGAAGAACTTACCGAATGATCAATGTGTAAACAACTTGTGAAATGATGTCATAACTTGTTACGATTAAATATATTAGGGTGAAACATCCATTTATTTAGAAATGGAGTGAAAACTGAAATTTTACATGAAACAGAGCAATCAAGATAAACACTATCGCTGATATCGTCTGAATCAATATGAGCTACACCATAAATCTAACACAAGGCTTCATGATCACAAAATGTAGCAGATATCTCACAACTAAACAATGAAAATTACAATACATACCACTTTTTCACAACGTGACGGATACGAAAATGTAACGTTGTTAAATGTTATCTTGCCGCTAAAGTCATCAAGTTGTTTTCCTGATGATGCTTTATCCACCGACCGTTTCTATAATGGGAGGAAGAATATACGCATGACTTAATTTACAATAATCGATTTGACAAATGGTTACAAATACTAATAATCTTTGCAAATTCCATTATAAGGTAAAAATTCTCAGTCTTTTGCATCTTCCTGTGTTTTTCGTACGCCAACCAACTTTTCTGCGCTGTAGTAAAGTTTTCATGACATTTTCGTATATATATTTAATATACCATTGATTTTTCTTGTCTTATAGGGAATTTAGCGAGATATGAACAGCCGTAATATCCCCATACTATTGAATTTATGTTCTACAATTCAAGAGCTGGTGTGCGTTCAAACGTCACGTGGACTGAGTTTGAGAGGAAGGAGTTTTTCGTTCACTCCCCAACCTTTTTTTACTATCAGACGTTACATTTCGATATACTTCCCCTACGTAACTTGACTGCCTAGCAAAAACGGAGATCGACGAGCACAGTTTAAACATTAATTCACTTGCTACAACATTAAACCTGATATGTGGTATTGGGAAAAGCTCAGTGGAAAAAGGTTTACTTATCATGGTAGAAAATGAAGTAATGTTATCTCTCAGCAGTGTTTTGAACCAAGACAGATGAGTTTTCCAAAAAAAACATATAATTTTGAAGTGTGCAAATACACTTTACTGATGAATACAAGTAAGTATGAAATCTACTCCTAAAATTGTCCATTAGCTGACCTCAAATAACAGAAATATAATTGATAACGTTTCTCATGAACACGATTTTCTCTAGTATTCATTAGAGAAAGTAAATTCTAAAGGTCACCGTAGCAATTGCAAAAATAACCGATTAGGTTGACTTATTTATGAGAGAGCTACCTTTCCATCTGAAATAAGAAGACCTAACTGGTTATTTCAGCGGTTGCTAGAGTGGGCTTTATAGTGAATCTCAATAGCTACTAAGAGCTGATTAAGTAGCGCATGTATTAACAAATGACTAACACTACAAGAATGGATGAGACCATAGTGCGATGTTCGCAAGTGTTCGGTAAAATTTAGTTTTGTTCAACAAATGACACACAGCTATAGCTATATCATCAAGGTATGACACAAGCAAAGCTACGAACTTTTCACTTCTGTTTTGTTTGATGCAACCTAGATTGCAGATTGGAGTAATACCAACCATAACAGCAATCAGAGCAAAGAACTCGATTTGAAAATCCACACCTAATGACAAGCTTTTGCATCATGAAAGTTACATGTTATGACAGTAAACAGACTTAATTTACAGCCTTGAAAAGAGGAAAATATCATTAACACACTGGCGACTAGCAGTAGACACCGTTAGATTTTAAGTGTTAGGTTTAATCAATCGGCATGATGGTCAGCTTGACTACTGAGACATCGAATGAATGCCCAGAGGGCTGGACTGTGTACAAGAACGGATCAACAGATGAATAATGATGTTCGTCAAGGTGTAACACCAACTACAGCGTACCACAATGCTGTCATTTGTTTTAGTAGTCATATGGTAAAGGTAGTCCATAGTCTTCGATTAGTACACAAAGCATGATAGCGACATCAACTGCTATGCGATAACCTATTCGCATAAACCTTTTGTCAGGTTTGTTGATTCTGTGCTGAAATTAGACATTGACGATTTCATTACAAATGTTGATCAAGTTATTTCAGCTGTGATTATTTTGAGAGGATTTCAATCGTTTTTTTAAATAAATGATGACTCAAATCAATTATATAGCAGTATGCTGGACTGCTTATACTAATTTTGACTCGCGAATTTCAAAAACATCATACAGTAACTGCAGTAAACCTTCTATTTAACTAACGCTTCAACTGAGTTATTGCGTTCTTTAAAACCAATATCAATGAAAAAACAATCGATTTCAGTGGCAGATATTCAATCCGAAATTCCCTGGAAAACAGGTGTTTACACATAACGTGATATTATGGTTTACACCTACCACAGTACCATCAGAAATATTGTCAATTTCAGGAAGACATAGAAGCCAAAATGTCAAAAATGAAAATAGACCAGATATCGTAGAACAATACACGAAAATGAATAGTTTCAAAATTATTATCACAATGGTTTGAAAACATAATTCTCCATAAAGAGTAACCTTTTCAAAAGATTTATGCTTGTATATACATAACGGTATACTATACACAACTATATATTATGCGGGTGAGCAAATACTTATAATCAAACATGAAACAGTAGAGGAGGAATCACAAACACGAGAAGATTAATCAATATCAGATGACCAAATATATACACGGATAGACTCAATATCTTCAAAACGGTTTTCGAACGACTTTCATGCTTTTCCTGTCAGATCCATAGCTAGACCCCAGTCTTATCAGCATTACACGATGAAGCTGACAAGAAAAATTACCTTATTTAAACTAAGGCGACAACACGATAGCTACATATAAAAAATTTAAAATTAACATGCAGTTTTCTCAATAACTTATTTAATTTTGTAGAGATCGGATTTTCAAGTACAATATAAACACAAATGAGGTCAACATGATTATTGCATGGATATGTAGGCAGTTTGTAGAATGATATTGTTTTTTAGAAACGGTGATGTTTTTCTTCAACTCAGTGCTAATATAGAAGACTAAGAGTTGAAGAATAAGCAGCACACAAAAACAAATATTTCAAACATGTATACTGGTGAAACCTGTTCTCGATAAGCGTTTATCATACATTGGAAACTGACATATACAGTCCGAAAAAATCACAGCTGAATTACTATAGCATTCAACCAACTGCGCATAAGCGTTCTTTCTTAAAAATGGAAATAAACTACAATACAGCAGCTATATAGAAAAGATATACACTCCTATTATTCCAGATAAACTTGAGAGAAACGTCTTCCAAAATAAATAATCAACCAATTATTACCTTGAAAGTTACAGAAATTACTTCCAGTCAAGATACTAAGGATCAATAAAATCGACTATAAAGTATAACTATGACTATTTTGAGTGAAACAGATTGTAACAACTAATTTACTTAAATAAACCGAAAATTCAAGATAAAACGCTAGATAGAGCTAATTTATGAAAAATAAACCACTTAACTAATTAACCTTTTGTGTTAAAAAGAAGCGCATAATCATTACACACGTGAGATAAATTACTTCTCCGATCATTCTAAGTTTACATCGAATGCTCTCACTAAAATATGTCATTGGGAGTTTATTTCCAAATGATCCCAGCTAAAAAAAACCACTTTTAACGATGTAAAAATTAGGTGGGTGTTATGGTTTCTAAGCGATAATAGTTATATATATATATATATATATATATATATATATATATATATATATATAATACGCGCGCTTAGCTGACAGTTAACTTGGTACACAAGAGCCACTGACTGCAACCCCGGGACGAATAGAGAGAAGACCGAAGCTGGCAGATGGGAGAGTGCATTACTCCGAGACCATAATAATGAATCAATCCAAAACACGTGAATAAGTATAACATGAAAAATGACCTTGTCCTCAATTCGAGGCATTTGTATAGTAAGAGTAAAGATTAACCAATTAGCGATTTACGTTACAATGGGGGCAGAAAATAGACCATTAGTCATATCGGAAAAATGGTGTGGGAATGACACGTTAAAATGTTCAGAACCATAACAACGTTTTATACTGGGGCATCACAACAGTGGGAAATCGAAAGATGCAGCTCATGAAACAGAAAGTTTATCACACAAGGATACAATTTGTCACACTTCCGAAGAATATGAACAGGGAAAGTAAATGAAAATAAAATTATAAGACAGCAGAAAAAATGGTTACATGAAGGTTAGTGAGATGTGCAAGATCCTAAAGATAGCATGTGAATTCAATCACACCACTATGGAGGATTTTGAACCATGCTGTTAAAATACCTGTCATTCACCTATAAAATCTCAAAAATTTAAAATAGCCTACCCTATTTAAACCAACAGACAGTTATTTCATGGAATGATATCGTGTTGCATTTAGACCACTCTAATCTCTCTTCTAAATTTGCTCTACTTCAATTAACAATGCGGACCGAGGAAGGTAATTAATTACTCAAGATGCGTAGCACATAAACGAACTACCACAGTTGATGAAGGTTCATGAGCTCTTCAATCACCCTGTGGAATACACATTACAGATGAATATCCACATGTGTTGTGCATGTGTATTTTCTTTCTGTGAAGATCTATATGCAGAAAGATGTTAGCAAAAGCGCTTAGCAGTTTCGATGTTAAGTGTTGGGACTCAGTAGGCAGAAAGTCCTGTTGGCAGTCATAACCGAAGCTGTAGATTTATTCAGTGTTATTGATTTAACTACTCATAAGTAACTTACATTTTAAATGTTTTTCCCCTGTTTGCACCTGGTCAGTTTCGTTATCTTGATAATTACGGCTGTCTGGTTGGTCGACGTAATGAGTTAGCCGGCAGCCCTATTGAAATTGTTGTTTTTTATCTTTTGGCTGGTATAAAGTTAAGTCCTGGTCATTGGGGGAGGGGCTCTTAACTTAGTCGGTAGTGCACCAGTTTGGCAAACTGGAGGCTTCTAGTTAGAATTCTGCAGTGAAACAGGTTTTCTGAACCACTTTCAAACGTCACCCAGTATAAATAACACAGGTTGACCACACCATGGTTACCTAAGACAGTCTTATTAATGACTTGCATGTGCTGTTGACGACAGCTTACGTCTTTTTCTGTTATACAATATCTGGTGAGTTTACAGTTTAGATTAATTATCAGTAAATATATATCTAACCACTTATCACTAGAAGAAAACAAATCTTCTGACTCAAGACGACTATCCGGTGCCTATATCTGGTGGAGCTAACAAGGTGTATCTGCAATCATGAGGAAACTGGCATTCTTTCAATAACTTGCACTTACTTCACTCGGTGCTGAATTCAGATACTTGGCCATCAGGTTATTCGGGCCACAACTAACTGTCTGTGAGAATGGATTATGTGCATAAATCAGTCGTTAGTAGGCAGCCGATGTAGTTGTTCAGT